AGAGTTGCATGCTGTACCAACTGAACCAGCCTGGTGCCCCTAAATATTTTTCACATAATTTGAATTGTGGTGTATTTGAGCTTTTTCCACTTAGCTTTATTACATTTTACAAAAATTATTACATGCTTAATTTTTTTTCTTCTTTGTCATAGAAGCCCCAGATTAAGTTTGGTGCATGGTTGCCCTGAGAAGGCTGTATTTCCCTGGGTTCCCTGGGAGCTAGTGCAGTTTTAGGGGCGCCTGGGTGGCTCGGTTCGGTTAAGCCCCTGACTCTTTTTTTTTTTTTTTTTAAGATTTTATTTATTTATTTGACAGAGAGATAGAGAACACAAGTAGGCAGAGAAGCAGGCAGAGGGAGAGGGAGAAGCAGGCTCCCCGCAGAGCAGGGAGCCCGATGTGGGACTCAATCCCAGGACCCTGGGATCATGAACCGAAGGCAGCCACTTAACCGACTGAGCCACTCAGGCGCCCCAAGCCCCTGACTCTTGATTTTGGTTCAGGTCATGATCTCAGGGTCATGAGATCAAGCCCTGTTTCAGCTTGTGCTGGGCGTGGTGCATGCTTAAGATTCTCTCTCTCTCTCTCCCCACCCTCTCTTTCTCTGAAAAAAGAAGTGCAGTTTTTAAAAAATAGCTTTATTGAACTATAACTTACTGTGAATTCATTTTAAGTGTACTTTTTGGTGAGTGTCATTAATTTTACACAGTTGTGCATCCATCACCATACTCATATCACGGTTTTAGACCATTTTTATTGTCCCCAGAAAGTTCTGTTGTTTTGCATTTAATTTTATCTACTCACCAAGAACTCGGAGATCACAACGTCCTATTTTATAGAGTTCTCAAGATTTTTTGTTTATGGGGAATGATGTGTGCGTGCACTCTTGTAATTTATACATATGTGCTATTTCTTCTGTGTTTCTTAGCTTTATGTTGTCACTTATGTTTAGCTTTTAATTTGTAATATATTAGATGTGAATTTTTTTGGTCAATGGCAGTGTATTCTGTGATTTATGTTTGGTGTTGTTTAAGCTTTGAATATTTAATAAAGTAGTTGCTTTATTGAGATATAAAGATACAATTGACATATTACCATTAGGTTTGGGTGTACAACATAATAATTGTATATATTGTGAAATGATCACAGTAAGTCTAGTTAATATCCATCACTACACATAATTACAGATTTTTTTTTTGGTCATCAGAACTTTTTTTTTTAAAAGTAGGCTCCAGGGCGCCTGGGTGGCTCAGTTGGTTAAGCGACTGCCTTCGGCTCAGGTCATGATCCTGGAGTCCCTGGATCGAGTCCCGCATCGGGCTCCCTGCTCAGTGAGGAGCCTGCTTCTCCCTCTAACCCTCCCCACCTCATGTACTCTCTCTCTCTCTCATTCTCCCTCTCTCAAATAATAAATAAATCTTTAAAAAAATAAAAATAAAAAAAATAAAAGTAGGCTCCACACCCAACATGGGGCTTGAACTCATGACCCTGAGATCAAGAGTTGCGTGTTCTGACTGAGCCAGCCAGGTGTCCCTTATATTACTAACTGTAGTCACTATGCTGTACATTATATCCTCATGGCTTACTTACTTTATAACTAGAATTTTGTATCTTTTGACCCCTTTCACCCATTTCGTGCACCTCTAACCCCCCACCAATTGGTTCTCTGTATCTATGAGTTCTGGTGTGGGGGGTTTTTTTTGTTTTTTTTTAAGATTTTATTTATTTATTTGAGAGAGAGAGAGAGTGAGCACGAGAGGGGGGAGCGGGAGAGGGAGAAGCAGACTCCCCGCCGAGCAGGGAGCCCGATGCGGGACTCGATCCCGGGACTCCAAGATCATGACCTGAGCTGAAGGCAGTCGCCCAACCAACTGAGCCACCCAGGCACCCCGGGTTTTTTTTGTTTTAATTTTATTTTTTAAGATTTTATTTATTTATTTCACAGAGAGAGAGAGTACAAGAAGGGGGAGTGGCAGGAAGAGGGACATGGGGCTCGATCCCAGGACGCCGGAATCATGACCCGAGCTGAAGGCAGATGCTTAACCAGCTGAGCCACCCAGGCACCCCTTGTTTTAATTTTAAATTCTACATATAAATGAGACCATATGGTATTTGTCTCTCTCTAACTTAGTTCACTTAGCATAATGCCCTGAAGGTCCCTCCAGGGCATTTGGCTGGCTCAGTCAGTAGAGCATGTGACTCTTGATCTGGGGGGTTGTGAGTTAAAAGTCCATATTGGGCATGGAGCCTACTTTTAAAAAAGTCCATCCATTTTGTCACAAGTGGCAGGATTTCCCTTTCTTATGGCCGAATAATATTCCATTATATACACATATCCGGTTTCTTTTATCCATTTATCCATTGGTGAACATTTATAAAGGTTATTTCCATGTCTGGGCTGTTGTAAATAATGATGCGGTGTACATATGGGTACAGATATCTTTTTGAGTTTGTGCTTTCATTTCCTTTGGATAAATACCAGAAATGGAATTTCTTTCTAATTGAGAGCGAACCGAGAGAGCATGAGTAGAGCTGCAGAGGGAGAGAGCGAAGCAGGCACCCCACTGAGCAGGGAGCCTGATGTGGGGCTCGATCCCAGGACCCTGGGATCATGACCCGTGCCGAAGGCAGATGCTTAACTGACTGAGCCACCCAGGCGCCCCAAGATTTTTTTTTTTTTTTTAGATTTTATTTATTTATTTTGACAGAGACGCAGCTAGAGAGGGAACACAAGCAGGGGGAGTGGGACAGGGAGAAGCAGGCTCCCCACAGAGCAGGGAGCCCGACGTGGGGCTCGATCCCAGGACCCCGGAATCATGACCCGAGCTGAAGGCAGACGCTTAACAACTGAGCCACCCCGGCGCCCCCAAGATTTTATATATTTATTTGAGAGGGAGAGAGTGTGCATGCAGCGACAGGAGTGGGGGGTGGGAGGGCAGAGGTGGAGGGAGAGGAACAAGCACACTCCCAGCTGAGCACAGAGCTGGAGGCGGGGCTGGATCCCATGACCCTGAGATCAGGACCCAGACTTGAGTCAAAACCAAGAGTCCGACACTCAACCACCTGAGCCACCCAGGTACCCCCAGAAGTGGAATTTCTGGATGATATGGTAGTTCTGTTTTTAATTTTTTGAGGAACCTCCACACAGTTTTCCATAGTGACTGCACCAATTTACATTCCCACCGTCAGTGCACAAGCTTTCCCTTTGCTGCACATCCTTGCCAACGCTTGTTATTTCTTATCTTTTTGATGACAACCATTCTAACAGGAATGAGGTGAAGTCTCATTGTGGTTTTGGTTTGCATTTCCCTGATGGTTAGTGATGTTGAGAACCTTTGCATGTACCTGTAGGCCATCTGTATGTCTCAGAAAAATGTTCAAATCCTCTGCCCATTTTTAAGTTTTATTTATATATATAAAAAATATATTTATATAATTTTTATTTTTTTGCTTTTTGAGTTGTGTGGGGTTTTTTAATTTTTAATTTTTAATTTATTTTTTTAAAGATTTTATTTATTTGAGAGAGAGAATGAGATAGAGCATGAGATGGAGGGTCAGAGGGAGAAGCAGACTCCCTGCGGAGCAGGGAGCCTGATGCAGGACTTGATCCTGGGACTCCAGGATCATGACCTAAGCTGAAGGCAGTCGCTTAACCAACTGAGCCACCCAGGCACCCCGAGTTGTGTGGGTTTTTAGTATATTTTGGATATTAACCTCTTATCAGATATATAATTTGCAAATAATAGCCTCCATTGGTAGGCCACATTTTTCATTTTGTTGATGGTCTCCTTTGCTGTGCAGAAGCTTTTTTTTTAAGGTTTGATTTATTTATTTGAGAGAGAGAGAGCACAAGCAGGGGGAGTGGCAGAGGGAGAGGGAGAAACAGGCTCCCTGCTGAGCACGACCCTGGCATCATGACCTGAGCCGAAGGCAAGACGCTTAACCAACTGAACCACCCAGGCGCTCCTGTGCAGAAGCTTTTTAGTGTGATGTAGTCCCACTTGCTTATCTTACTTGCTTATCGAAAGTTGCTTTTTAATCATAATCACAGCTGTCATCTTCTGAATCCCAGAATTCTCTCCCCAGGTGCAAATTTTCAGGTCTGGTTTGTTGCCAATCCTTGTGATTGCATGTTGTACACAAAGAAATTTATTCTAGTTTCTTTAATCTCAGAACTCTTTATGGGATCCTTATTTACTGCTTAAAATTGTAATTTCTCATGGTGGACCGTAACAAAAAAAAGTTCCTAGTGAGTCTTTTTTTAAACCCCTCGTTTGCCCTTTTTTTTTTAGCATTAAATCTGATAAACTTTGGGGGCACCTGGGTGGCTCAGTCAGTTAAGCAGCTGCCTTCGGCTCAGGTCATGATCCCAGGGTCCTGGGATCGAGCCCCGCGTCAGGCTCCCTGCTCAGTGGGGTGCCTGCTTCTCCTTCTCTCTCTGCCTACTTGTGCTCTCTATCTCTCTGTCAAATAAATAAATAAAATCTTTTTTTTTTTTTTAATTTTTATTTATTTATTTGAGAGAGAGAGAGTGAGAGACAGAGAGCATGAGAGGGGGGAGGGTCAGAGGGAGAAGCAGACTCCCCGCCGAGCAGGGAGCCTGATGCGGGACTCGATCCTGGGACTCCAGGATCATGACCTGAGCCGAAGACAGTCGCTTAACCAACTGAGCCACCCAGGCGCCCAATAAATAAAATCTTTAAAAAAAAAAATCTGATAAACTTTGTGGTGACTTTGATCAGTTCTTCACCTTTGTTTTTCTGTGCCTCTTTTTGGCTTTTTGGTATGTTTTTTCTTCATCTCAAAATTAGCTCACCATTGACTCAGAAAAGTCCATCTTTTGGAACCTTGCCTCAGCTGAGTCAGGCTTATAGCCCATACCTTAAAACATAACAAATGGATGACTTTCAGAGAGGGGAAAACCCATAGTATAAAAGTATTCTTTTATGTAAATCATTGTATCCCAATGTGACCAATTTACCAAAGCTCATTTTTTGTTTTAGGTTCTCTGGCAATGGAGCTCAGTGATGCAAATTTGCAAACACTAACAGAATACTTAAAGAAAACTCTTGATCCTGATCCTGCCATCAGACGTCCAGGTAAAGAGAATGTTTTGTGGTTTGATTTATTCTTTAAGGACAGGTGATGAAAACCTTTGCATAATCTATCTGTATTTGTAAATTGAAAAAAAAAAAAAAGATTTAACACTTGGTTCTGGGGCATAGTTTTTCATTCTCTACCTGTAAAGTGTTGGCTGCTTACAGCTGCTGTAACATATGGTGGGGTGTTTTTGGTTTGGTTTTGTTTTTTGAGTAAAGAAGCTTTTATTTGGCATCTTCTGGGATTAAAAAGTACTAGTATGTTTAGAATGCTTTGTCCAGTCACCTTTCTGAAAATCCCTACACCTGCCTGTTTTAGAAATATAATAAATAGGGCACAGAGATGAGAGTTAATTGCTTAAAAAGTGATTAAATGATTTAAACTAGGAAATGAGATGCAGTGTCTTAATCCCCATGTTGAGTTTGATTTAATTAATACATTTTAAGACCTAGGGTTCCTCCCTCCTGTATTTGACCAGTTTCTGTTAGAAACTTTAGTGGTAGCTTAGAATTGTAAACTCAGATGCCCACAGGACTCATATGTGAAGGTAAAAATGAGGGAGGCAGGTGAAGTGAGGATTGGTAATTTCATGTGATTTATATGCCTTGGTTAAGGGCCTGTAGAACAAGCTAACTGGGGGATTCAAACCACTTTTGCAAGATCAGATTTCCAGCTTTGTTGGAAAAATAAAAGACATTTCTGTGAAGTGTCCCCATTTTTAAATGATAATTTGAAATACCATGAAACCAAGCAAACCCTCCTTCTGAGGGCCGGATGTGTCTTGTGGGTGGGTAGCCAGTTGATGATTCTTGATGTGAGCCATATTAACTAGGTATCAACCTGCTGTTTCGGAACTTACTAATGTGCATGCTCAGAAAGAGGATTTGGAACGCCTCCACAAAGACACAAGTGTGTGTGTGTTGCAGTTATATATAATAAATAGAATTGTAAACATGTTAATGCATCCATTCTATTCTAGAATAGTGTTTGTGATTTCTGAGAGGGAGAATTGTGGCTTTTCCCATTAGTGCTTAAAAAGGTAACGTGTTCTTGGAGGAAGGGAAATTAATGGCTCTAATCGTCTTAGACTTTCCCAGAAAGCCTCTGCAAACCTTGTCTATTAAAAATTATTTTTAATAATTTTGTCTTTGTAAGGCAAGGGTGTTACTGTTTTATGAATTCAGGACAGAGTGTAGGAATAAATTGATGAATGAGTTATGAACATAGCATTTCTCAGGGATTGCTACTAGACCAACTTAATGTTTCTAGAAAATGATCTGGAGGTTGAAATGTGTAGTACAGATACCACTATGCTCCCTTGGTTTTTGTGATGAGACTGGTCCAGATGAACTGGAAGACATTTTTGAGGCTACTTGAGTGTGTAGAAACATGTCTGTGTGAATATTCTGTGAGCAAGTTGAAGGAAATGAACACAGACAGAAATCGACTTAAACTCATGAGATTTCTTTAAGGATATTGATTACAGTTTAAGAAAGAGACCTGGCGATCTATATGGGCTTTCCCCCAGATCATGGATCTGGTGTGTTGCCCTGTGTGCAGTGCTAACCACTGAGAAGAAACAACCAAAGCCTTCCAGACTCCTACAAAACCATAGTGTGTCCCCTCCTGAAAAACATTTTTCAGTTTAGCCCTCCTCGTCTTTTAAGAAAGATATGATGGACACAAAGCAGGGAAGATTTGAGGATGGGTATCAAACTCTTGGGACTCAGTTCAGAAAGGAGAGAGGTATTAAATCATAATATTGTAGAAAATAATAGATGCTAATGGCAGATCTTTTCAGTGAAGTTTATGAAGACCTGCTATAAACCTTCACTTGTGTGATCAGTAAACTTTGGAGAGTTCCTTTTTTTTTTTTTTTTAAGATTTTATCTAGGGACGCCTGAGTGGCTCAGTTAAGCATCTGCCTTCTGCTCAGGTCATGATCCCAGGGTCCTGGGATCGAGTTCTGCATCAGGCTCCTTGCTCAGCAGGGAGCCTGCTTCTCCCTCTGCCTGCAGCTCCCCCTGCTTGTGCTCTCTGTCTCTGACAAATGAATAAGGTCTTAAAAATATATATATATTTTATTTATTTTACGAGAGAGCGAGCACGCAAGCACAAAGGGAGAGGGAGAAGCAGACTCCTGATGAGCAGGGAGCCCGATGCGGGGCTTTATTTTAGAAGGAGCCATGTGCATAGGGGCTGGGTGGAGGGGCAGAGAATCTCAAGTAGACTCCCCACTGAGTGCAGAGCCTGGCACAGGGCTCTATCTAATGACCCTGAGATCATGACCTGAGCCAAAATCAAGAGTCAGACGCTTAACTGACTGAGCTACCCAGGCACCCCTAAACCTAGGAGACTTCTTTTTTTTTTTTTTTTTTTTAAGATTTTATTTATTTATTTGACAGAGAGAGAGATAGCGACAGCAGGAACACAAGCAGGGGGAGTGGGAGAGGGAGAGCAGGCTTCCCGCTGAGCAGGGAGCCTGATGCGGGGCTCGATCCCAGGACCCTGGGATCATGACCTGAGCCGAAGGCAGACGCTTAACGACTGAGCCACCCAGGTGCCCCAACCTAGGAGACTTCTTATCCCTAAGTGTGGTAGGAGTTGAAAATATGTGGGTAAAATCTTCGAATAATTTTTTGCTCATACTGGAAATGTTTAGTTCAAGAAGAAAACTGAGGGCTAGTGTGACAGAATAAGGACTGGATTGGACTAAAACTTTCTCAGTGATGAAATCTTCTAGCTGTGTCATCTTAGACAAGTTACCTAACTCAGGGGCCTTGTATTTATTTATTCATTAATTAATTCATTTATTTATTTAAAGATTTTATTTATTTCACAGAGAGAGCACAAGCAGGGGAGCTGCAGAGGGAGAGGGAGAAGCAGGCTCCCCACTGAGTAGGGGAGCCCGATGTGGGGCTCGATCCCAGTACCCTGGGATCACACCCTGAGCTGGAGGCAGACGCTTAATCGACTGAGCCACCGAGGCGCCCCGATTTTTTGATGCTTTTAATTAGAGATCTACATAGATATAAAATGGAAAGACTTGGTTATAATGTCAAGTCTTCTAACATGGAAATTCTTTTACAGCTGAGAAGTTTCTTGAATCTGTAGAAGGAAATCAGAACTACCCACTCTTGCTTTTAACATTGCTGGAAAAGTCCCAGGATAATGTTATCAAAGTTTGTGCCTCAGTAACATTCAAGAACTATATTAAAAGAAACTGGAGAATTGTAAGTATTTTGTGAACACATGGTCTAATAACCTGTATGTTTATAAGATTTATATGTAATGCTCCAAAGATTCAGACACAGATTAAAGATAAAATTAAATAGAACCCTCTTCAACAAAATACTAGCAGATCAAACCTAAAAAGGTGTAAAAAGAATTACACACCATGACCAAGTGGGATTTATCCCAAGGATGCAAGGCGGGTTCAGCATTCAAAAATCAGTTAATCTAATCCTGTTAATAAACTGACAAAAGGAAAATCACATGATAATATCAGTAGCTACAGAAAAGGCATTTAACAAGATCCTGCGCCCATCTGTGATAAAACTGTCAGTAAACTAGGAATAAAAGAGAACTTTCTTAACTTGGTAAAGACTATATACAAACAACCTACTCACTTAATGGTGAGAAACTTGGAGCTTTTCCACTAAGATCAGGTACAAAGCAAAGATGTCCCCTCTTCTCACTTCTTCTCAACATTGTACTGGAAGTCCTTGCTGATGGAATAAGAAGAGAAGTAAAAGGTATTACTGAATGGGAAGGAAGACCTAAAACTATCTTTATTCACAGATGACATGAGTGTCTATATAGGAATTCTGAAAGACTTGGCAAAAATTAAATAGGATGCTTTCCCAAAGTTCCATTGTTTCATGTGAGTTCATATAGATTACTTGAACTTCCTAACCCAGGTTGCTAGAGTGTGAGACTTGGCTTTTGCCTCCATTATGGTTGAATTTAAACGTTAGTGCATTGTCAACTGAAGAGACATTGTGTGGGAAGACACATAACCTTACTGAATAATTGAAGCAATTTCTCCCGTGGATGGGAAAAAAATTAAATACAGTAGAGAAACCACATTAAATATGTTAAAAATTTGTAGAATGCAAAATAATTTAGATTTGGGGTTTTTGATAAGGGATATAGAAATATATGCTAATTTTAAGGCATTGTAGTACAAGTTTTTTAATTTAAATTTTTTTTAAAAGATTTCATTTATTTGAGTGAGAGAGAGAGCACAAGCAGGGGAGTGGCAGGCAGAGCTGAGCCCCCGATGAGGGGCTCGATTCCAGGACCCTGGGACCATGACCTGAGCCAAAGGCAGCCACTTGACTGAGACACCCAGGCGCCCCTGTACTGCAAGTTTAATGAGTGGTATAAAATTAGAAATTAAGAAATTAAGGTATTTTCCCTACCTTAGGACAGTGGTTCTTAATGGGGGGTGATTTTGCCCAACAGAGATCTGTGGAGCCGTTTTGGTTGTCACAGGTAGGGGCAGGGAGAGTTACTGCCATCTAGTGATAGAAACCAGGGATGCTGCTAACTATCCTACAGTGTACAAATCCATTCTCATAGCAAAGATTTGGGCCCAGAATGCCAGTAATGCTAAGGTTGAGGAAACCTTGGCTTAGGATAAAGAAAAAAATGAGAATTGTTTTGAAGTGATAGCAGTAATGAAATTTAGAAAGTATTAGGGTTGACAAAAATGGTCAGTTTTTCTAAAATGTCAACTTTAAATCTGGCTAGATATTTATTTAGAATTCTTTTTTCTTCATTTCGTGAAAGAGTTTAAGAAGTAGTAAATACTGTTTTTAAGCTTATGTAGTCAAGTATTAACTTCATGTAGTGAAGAAGCAGCTGGAAAATCAGAATGTTTAAACATCCATCCCTCTACTTGCAGACATGCTAGCCCTCTTCCTTTCTCTTGATTTGTAAAACTAGTGAGACTTGCAGAACCTCTTTGAGTGATTTGTCCTGGATGTATTTAAATTGATAATGGTCAAGAAGTTTTCATTGAAAAGACTTCTAACCTAAGGTGAGAGTCAGATCGACGCTTTTGAAGATGAATGTGGGCTAGGCAGTGTAGATCATAAAGATTTTCACCACATGTTCTGATAAGTTTATGTTTAGAACTGAGATTCTTAATTGGCATCAGGGAATGTATATTTTTCTGCAGAAGAGTTTATGCTTTCATCAAATTATTAAAGGAATCTGTGACCCATTCATGTAGAGGGAAGGCCCTGACTTTATGGTTTTCTTAGAAAACCAGAAAAAAAAGAAATGGTTCTATTTTCTCTATAAACCCATAAGGTCATAGATATGGACTTTATGTTACTTGCTATTGATGTTTTGCTTTTAGGTTGAAGATGAACCAAACAAAATTTGTGAAGCTGACCGAGTAGCCATTAAAGCCAACATAGTGCACTTGATGCTTAGCAGCCCAGAGCAAATTCAGAAGCAGGTAATGTAAGGCCCAACTGTTTAAGGAGGAGCCTTGTTTGTGGAACTGTCATCTAATTAATCTTTTTCCTCCCCCCAGTTAAGTGATGCTATTAGCATTATTGGCAGAGAAGATTTCCCTCAGAAATGGCCTGACTTGTTGACAGAAATGGTGAATCGATTTCAGAGTGGAGATTTCCATGTTATTAATGGAGTCCTTCGTACAGCACATTCTTTATTTAAGAGGTATTGATAAATTCATACTTCTTGTTTTAAAGATTTTATTTTTTTTAAGATTTTATTTATGTAGAGCGTGAGTGTTGGGGGAGGGGCAGAAGGAGAGGGAGAGAGAATCTCAAAGCAGCTCTCTGCTGAGCTGGGAGCCTGATATGGGACTCGATCTCACGATCCTGATATCATGACCTGAGCCAAAATCAGGAGTTGGATGCTTAACTGACTGAGCCATCCAGGTGCTCCTTAAAGATTTTATTTTTAAGATTGTACACCCAACCTGGGGCTCAACTCTTGACCCCAAGATCTAAACGGCAAATGTTCCACTGACTGAGACTGCCAGGTGCCCTCATAAATTCATGTTTTTAAAATACTTTTTCCAAATGCTTTTGCTTATATAAACAGTTGTATTTTTATGACTCTTGTCATTCCTTTGAATTTGGTAATCTTAGAATAAGATTTATTTCATCTAGCTCTGTTACTGTGAAATAGGTCTTAATAAACTGTGCTTGATTCCTTTAAAAAGAAAACCAAGAAATCCATTTGAATTTCAGAGAGCTGTCTACCCGTGGGTTTTTCTCTGATCTGTCCTTGAAGACCTAAAGTTAGTACACAGAAACTTGTAAATTACTTTACCTATTTTACCTTAATTTTTTTAGATATCGCCATGAATTTAAGTCAAATGAGTTATGGACTGAAATTAAACTTGTTCTGGATGCCTTTGCTTTGCCTTTGACTAATCTATTTAAGGTAATGGAATAACATCTTGGTGATACTTTAAAATTACTTAATATTTTAAATTGCTTAATTATTTGTATAAATTTTGTTTAAGAGAATGCTTTGAAAGTCTATTTGATAGGTAATATTTAGAGCAACATTGCTTTTGAAAAATTCCAAACCTACACAGAAATAGAGAAGACAATCTAATGAACCCTCATGTATCTATTACACAAGTTTAACGGTATTACTTTTTTTTTCCTTCCCTTCCCCTCATTTTGTAGGAATGTTTAAAAGCAAATCCCAGGTATCATATTATTTTATTACTCAAGTATTTGAGTATATGTCTCTAAAGGACCAGCTCCCCATTTTGATTTGACTATGTGGTTTAATTTATATATATAATTATAGATTAAATATTTGTACATCCTCTTGTGCATAGGCTGTTTTCTTAAACACGTTTATCTCTGTGAGACTCCTATAAGATTGAAAGAGATAATTTTTTTTTTTAGTCTTTTTTTTTTTTTAAAGTAATCCCTATACCCACCATGGGGTTCGAACTTATAACCCTGAGATCAAGAGTCATAAGCTCCACTGACTGAGCCAGCCAGATTCCCCCCCCCCCAATTTTTTGCATGCTCTTCCCACTGAGTTAGTCAGGGGCCCCGAAAGAGATATATTCTTAACCTCTTTTTTCAGATAAGAAGGTTCAATATCACACAGCTAATAAAGGAGCCAAGCCTCAAGCCTGGTTGTGCTAACTCTGGAAAAGCTGCTCATTTCCTTTTTTCAAAAAGGAAAGTTTTGTGATTTTCACAACTTTCTAAGATGTAGTGTGCACAGGATTTTTCATCATTAGGATGTCTTACTGATGGTACATTTTTATATAAAAAAATAAAATTGGACAAAATATAATCAATATTTTCTACCTATTGGGTTGGTAAAGATTCTTATTTCTTTTTACTGGTGTTAAAAGTGTTAGCCAGAGTGCAATGAAATGAACTCTTGTGTCCTGTCCACTGGATTATAAATGATACTGTCTGGAGTTTGGCATTTCATTCAGAAAATTTTAATATTCATATTTCTTTACTCCAGAATATAGGGAGTACCATTTGTTGAGTGTCTTTTACATAGTGTACAAAGGTACTGGATATTTCATGTATATTTCTTCATTCTCATATTCTCCGTCTGAGGCAGGCATTATTTTCAGATTATACATGAGGAGATTGGGGCTCAGTAAAATAACTTACTTGCTCCAAGTAATGCTCATTATGAACAGCAGAGTCTGGATTATATCCAGGTCAATCTGGCTTGCAAAACCTGTGCTCATAGCAGACTAATCTGCTTTGGTAATACATTTCTAGACTCTCATGGTGTGAAAATTAGAGGTGTGCATAGTTTTATAGATAAGCCTGTTTATTGCAGTTAGAATAACAAATAATTGGAAGCAGTTCAGATGCCAGGGGTATCATTTAATGAGAGCATATAAAGACAGTTTTGTAATATATTTATATGCACAAAGGAGAGTGGAAGGATCTGGTCCAAATATTAAACATTGGACTTCTAGTAGTGCTGTTATGGACAATTTAAAAATATATACTGTTGTAACATATTTTTCAGAATCTCTTCAATGACTGTATACTATTTAAAAGCCAAATTTCAGAGAGGATATAAGTAGTCTCAGTCTGTTTCACTAAAGTTTACACTAAAACCATGTCCCTAAATTCCTTCCTAAGGCCACTATTGAACTCTGCAGTACCCATGCAAATGATGCTTCTGCCCTAAGGATTCTTTTTTCTTCCCTGATCCTTATCTCAAAATTGTTCTACAGTTTAAACTTTCAGGTAAGTTTTGTTATATTTCTTGCTTTTGATTCTTTGATGTCAAATATACACGTTTTCAATTAATAAAGACTTCTTTGCCAGCATTGATTTTTCTGAAAGAAATTAGTTTTTTTCTGACTCTCCTCCCATTCTTTGCCTACAAGTAGTGTTCTATTTTATAGTCCTTCCTAGAGATATTTCTAGGACATTTCATGGGGAAAGGTATCATTTTCTTATAGTCTAGTAACTTAGAGGACCCTACTTCCTAAATCACTGTTTTGGACAGTCACCTTGTATACTGTATTATTGAAGACACGGGGAGATCATATTCTCAGACCTTTCTCTTTTATTCATTTAAGTGGATATTAACACTGGAGGAACAGTGTTTTGGTTAGAGGTCTATGACTAGCTTACACAAAAAGGCTTTTATTGGAAAAATGGGAGACAGAACACTAAAAAACCAGGTTTTGGAAGGTATAAGAACCAGTGGCATTTCAGAAGAAACATAGCTATAGACTTCTAGTAGAAAATGCCTGGTCACTGTCTTGCTACTGAGATAGTGGCCTCCATTCTTTTTGTTCTTGAATCATTACTTTAAGATTCAGTGTTCCAGGAATGAGAAGAGGGGTCTTAATGGTGCAGATTACTATACTGAGATGCAAGAGGAACAGTCTGGCCTTTTCATTGCTCATAGCCAGGGCCATGTACCTGGACTTCCTCCTCATAAAATGATTGCACTCAGAGTGGTAGGAAGAGCATTCTCCAAAAGGAATAGGCAGAATAGGAGATGAACAGCCCAAAATGGTATATCTACATCAGTACTCATCTGGACACCGGTTTGAGAAAGTTTTACTTAAAGGATATCACTGTTTTTGCTTACATCTTCTTTTGAATTCTATTTCCTAGAAATCAGGTAGGATGAGGCTCTTAATAACTTGTTAGGCATAGTCTGGAAGACCAAAGAAAGAGCCATAATCTTTATCCTTGGGGTGGCTTATCCCTCATTAAGAAGGCAGTACTGTGGCACAGGAAATCCGTAGCTATATAAGACAAAAAGTCTGAATTGGTGGTCATCTTACAATAAAAGCGATAGTTGAGAAAGGAAAAGGAAGATAGTGGTAAGCACTCGAGTTTCATACAGTCTTAGCTGGACCTTGAAAGAATAAGTGAGTTTAGATTGGGACAGGAAATAGGTGGCATCATTTGTAGTTGAAAGTGTATAAACCAAAGAGACAGTGGTTTACTCAGGTGCCAGGCCTGGCTGGGATAAAGAATTCTTGGTCTAAATAGTTAATGGTTGGCTCAGGCTGAGGAGTGTGAACTTGAGGCTGTAGGCATGTGGGAAATGTTTAGCATGGGGGCAAAGCTTACTAGAATAACATTGCTTTTAATCAAAAATCTCAATTCAGTGTTTATTCTTTAGGACCTCCCTGAATTTTTTGAAGATAATATGGAAACTTGGATGAATAATTTTCATACCCTCTTGACATTAGATAATAAGCTTCTACAAACTGATGTAAGTATTTAAAAATGGTTCACAGGTATCCCTGTTTTAACTGAAGAATTGTTTGAAATATAATATTAGATTTTGATTAGATCTCAGTTTTTAAAAATGTAAAATAAAAGGTACTCTCTGAAAACCTTGGAATATAGTTAGACTTCAGAAAATGAAATCGTTATTTGAGAGCATTTATTTTATTTATTTCTATATTTTTAAAGATTTTATTTATTTGTCAGAGAGACGGTGAGCACAAGCGGGTGGAGCGGCAGGCAGAGGGAGAAGCAGGCTCCCTTCTGAGCAGGGAGCTTGATGTGTGGGACTCGATCCCAGGACCCTTGGGATCATGACCTGAGCCGAAGGCAGAGCCTTAACCGACTGAGCCACCCAGGCGCCCCGAGAGCATTTATTTTATTTATTTAAAAGATTTTATTTATCTTTTTGACATAGAGCACAAGCAGGGGGAGCAGGAGAGGGAGAGGGAGAAGCAGGCTCCCCGCCAAGCAGGGAGCCCGATGTGGGAATCATGATCCGAGCCAAAGGCAGATACTCAACCAACGGAGCCACGCAGGCGCTCCTGTTTATTTATTTTTAAGTAAACTCTGTGCCCAGCATGGGGCTCAAACTCAGGACCCAGAGATCGAGAGTTGCATGTTCTACTGAACATTTAAATTTTGGTTCCTAAAAATTTTTTTACTCTTCCACTGTTAGTAGGTAGAATCCAAGAATATAAGTAATATTTGATTATGTGGGATGTTCTGTGTTTGGTTGTTATTTTTTTAATTATTTTTTATTTAGGGGTGCCTGGGTGGCTCAGTCATTAGGCACCTGCCTTTGGCTTGGGTCGTGATCTCAGGGTCCTGGGATCGAGCCCTGCATCGGGCTTCCTGCTCAGCGGGAGGCCTGCTTCTCCCTCTCCCACTCCCCTCCTTGTGTTCCCCTCTTGCTGTCTCTCTCTCTGTCAAATAAATAAAATCTTAAAAAAAATTATTTTTTAAGTTCAGTTTATGTTTGGTTATTTTTAGCACACAGAATTAGCCTTATTGTGGCTTGGCATAGGTAGATTCACAATTTATAGAGAAGGCTATTTTTTTTTTTAAGATTTTATTTATTTGACAGAGACACTGCGAGAAAGGGAACACAAGCAGGGGGAGTGAGAGAGGGAAAGCAGGCTTCCCGCAGAGCAGGGAGCCCAATGTGAGGCTCGATCCCAGGACCCTGGGATCATGACCTGAGCTCAAGGCAGATGCTTAACGACTGAGCCACCCAGGTGCCCCTAGAGGATGCTTTTTCTTTACAAGATTGAAAGTAAAGCCTCAAGAGTATTCACACCGTGAACATTTTATGAAATAGAAAGCTATCATTGAAAATATTAAGAAAACTTAAACCTTTGTACCAGTAGCCTCTTTTTAAAAAGTCAGTACAGCCTGGGAACGTGGGGACATTATGAAGGTTTGTAATGTGTTAAAGTTTCTGGTCTGGGTTTTGTAATATGTACTTTTCATCATAGCACTTCGTGTTATCATTTACTTGTTTATTAATAGACTTACAATCTATATTCTATAGATATATACAATCTATATTCTATATTAATAGATTTACAGTCTATATTCTTTTTTCCAAGAAACAAAAAACTTAAAAAGCAAAATATTAAGAATGCTTCCGTTTCAGATAAAATTAGACCAGGTGGTTCAAATCAGTTTTGGGGAGTAGGATGCAGAGAGAGAATTGTTTCTGTGGGTGTGCAGCAAATTTTGTCTGGGATTTACCAACTAAAAAGCAACAAAAAAGATTCGGCCCCCATGAAATAATTCTTTCAGTCCAGTAGGAAAAAAACGATGCCCTTAGAAAACGAAGCTTGTCTTCACACTTCTGTCTAAAGGAAGTTTTTCACCTAGGATTCTTACAGGGAGCTGTTTGCCCATTTAACCAGGTACTACCTTATGTCCTCTCACTGTGTAATATCCCTTACATTTATGCCTTGAGGAACCACCTGTTCTCTCTTCTAACTTTGAGTTCTTTGGCACATAGTACAGCTCAAAAGGTGTTTATGGATTGCCATCACAGTAGAGATCATTATATAAATGACTGTCATGGTTTAGATTGGGGTTGGCAAACTTTTCCTGTAAAGGTTTAGGTGGTAAATATTTTTGGCTTTGTGGGCTGTACAGTCTCTGTTCCAGCTACTCAGCTCTGCAGTTGTAGTTGAATGAAAGCAGTCATAGGCAGTACTATAAATTGTGTAAACATAAAGAAGGAATGAGCATGGCTGTGTTTCCATAAGACTTTACTTACAAAAATAGGCAGCAGGCCTGCAGACCACAAGTTTGACCCTTAAATTAGATTGCTGTTTAATATTTTATAGCCAGAATATTGTTGGTGAGAATCCTATAGCATTATTATTATTTTTATTTTTTAATGATTTTATTTATTTGAGAGATAGAGTGATCAAGAGAGATAGCACACGAGCAGGGGCAGAGGGAGAAGGAGAAGCAGGCTCATCGTGGAGCAGGGAGTCCGATGCGGGGCTCAATCCCAGGACCCTGGATCATTACCTGAGCCAAAGGCAGACACTTAATTGACTAAGCCACCTAGGTGCCCCATCCCATAGCATTATTTTATCTTAATGTGTTTGAAATGAGAACCTTATGGGAGGAGATAGCAAGACAGTATAGCTGACCATGTTACAAAGGGAAATGTGATATGGCCTTTTATCATTCAGGTTTCTCTATATTATTTTCAATTGAATATGTAAATATTTTGCAATTCAGCAACCAGAAGAAAAGTCTCTATTTAATTTGAAAACTTTGAGAGCTACGCTTCATGATTAATAAATGATAAGTATTTCATTTGTTATTTATTTGAAAGACTAAATGAATACATTGACAATGGCATAGTTGTAGATTACAACCCTAGGTTTTATTTTTAGTTGACGGAATTACAGCTACTCTGTATTAATGGTAACTTTAAAGTTTTATGTTTGAGTTTTCTGTTTTTTCTTATGTGAGGATGAAGAGGAAGCAGGCTTATTGGAGCTCTTAAAATCCCAGATTTGTGACAATGCTGCACTCTATGCACAGAAGTATGATGAAGAATTTCAACGGTACCTGCCTCGTTTTGTCACAGCCATCTGGAATTTACTAGTTACAACAGGTCAAGAGGTTAAATATGACTTGGTAAGGTGATGGTGGAGACAAATAATTAAGACATTGCCTCCCTACCTCCCCCAATTAATAAATGATTCAGTTCTGCTCTTTAAAATATGCCTATTAAAAAAAAATACGTATTTTTGTGTTTTATTCCAGTTAGTAAGTAACGCCATTCAGTTTCTGGCTTCAGTTTGTGAGCGGCCTCACTATAAGAATCTGTTTGAGGACCAGAGCACGCTGACGAGTATCTGTGAGAAGGTTATTGTGCCTAACATGGAATTTAGAGGTAATTATAGCGAAGTTTGAAGCCTTTTCAGGAGATTAAAGCTTGCTTTTTTTAAAGCATGTATTAGTATAAATTTATTATTAAGTCTGCTCCCTGTTGCTTTTTATAATAAATGCAGTCTAATTTTTTTTATTGCTAATTAAAACTTCCTGTAGGTCACTTGCTCCCTATTTTCTAAACCAAGACAGAAGGAGAAAAAAGTGATAAAAAAGACATTTGTGAGTGTTGCTGGGATGAGCTTTGTTTTCTACTGTAGAGCATTTTTCACAGAAATACTGAATAAGGCTACAGATATTCCTGTTACATTGAGAAGAAAGTAAACCATCCAGGATCTCAGTTTAGGAAAGAATTTGGTATTGTTTGATTTAGTGTTTCACTGGGGCAAATAACTATTGTTCAGTTGAGTGTAGAAGTGATTGATAACCTTTAAATGCAGAGCTAAAGCCCACTCAGTTTCTGATTAAGGTTAAGAGAGCCCTAAGACACTATATTTGTATACAAACTGTCTTTCCTTCTTACAGCTGGGAAGAACAGGCAGTAAATGTGGAAGGAATTGTGTTTTATGTCAAAACAATCATTAGATCAGTGGTTCTCAAATTATCAGCAACTAAAAGCGGAATTAAGGACAGTACAATGTGAGGTTTTATTTCCTTTTGTGTTTTCATAAAACTATAAAGGACAGATCTTTATTTTGGTATTGCCTCTCCTACTTTGTCTGGTTTGAAATGACTTTTATGAAATGGTGATTATAGTTGTTAGGCCCCCTTTTTTTTTTTAAGATTTTATTTATTTATTTGACAGAGACATAGCGAGAGAGGGAACACAAGCAGGGGGAGTGGGAGAGGGAGAAGCAGGCTTCCCACGGAGCAGGGAGCCCAGTGTGGGGCTCAATCCCAGGACCCTGGGATCATGACCTGAGCCGAAGGAAGACGTTTAACGACTGAGCCATCGAGGTGCCCCAGGCTCTTTGTTTTTTTAATGTCCTTGTCTAGCAGAATAAAAGTTGACATCTCTAGGTTGGGCCTCAATATTCAACTTTTTGAAGTTGGTGATTGGTAAAGTCCAATTCTGGGGACACGGTCACATTAGAACAAGTGAGCTGTGAATTACCTGTTACCCAATTGTTTAGGGTGGCATTTGCTGCTCTTAAGTAATGATAAAGAATATATGAAGTAGGGGCACCTGGGTGGCTCATTCGTGAAGCGTCTGCCTTCGGCTCAGGTCATGACCCCGGGTTCCTGGGATCGAGCCCTGCATCGGGCTTCCTGCTCTGCGGGGAGCCTGCTTCTCCCTCTCCCTCTGCCCCTGCTTGTGCTTTCTCTCTCTCGCTTGTGCTCTCATATAAACTTCTTTTTAAAAATGTGTGTGTGTGTGTATATGTATATACATACATATATATATATGAAGTTTTTTTGGGAAGGAACATTCTGCTGGAAAACATGGCAGTTCTACATAGTCTTCTGTGTACTTGGCTGTGAAAGTACAATGACTTTTGTCATGTCTTTTGAGGGGTTATTTGAAGTGCCATCTCTCTTTGTAGCCGCTGATGAAGAAGCCTTTGAAGACAATTCTGAGGAGTACATAAGAAGAGATTTGGAAGGATCTGGTATGTATTTTGGTTTTGAACTTAGTCTGATAGCAAGGCTCTTTTAAAGTTGCTCTTTCTGGTCACTGGGGAGGAGTGGGAGTCAGGGTAAGTATGCTGTCTTAACCAAGCCTTTCCTCCTCTAACTTTATACACCTTAAAGAGGACTCTTGTCTGAGCTTGGGTGTAGAGTCCAACATTGAATCATCTGCCTTCTCTTTTTTATATGCTTATTAGTGTGTAACTACTACTGTATCCTTTTTAGTTCCCATTTTGTGTTTCTTGTGAACAAAAGAATGTTCTTTTTCTTCTTTTTTTTTAGTGTTCTTTTTCATTGTTGATGTTGCTAAGAGCGATCAGATGACAATTTGTTGCCTTATAATCTTGGTCACTTGGTTTGTGGTTGTTTCTTTTATGACATATTTCCCTTTGATTTTATAGATATTGATACTAGACGCAGAGCCGCTTGTGATCTAGTACGAGGATTGTGCAAGTTTTTTGAGGGACCTGTGACAGGAATCTTTTCTGGTTATGTTAATTCCATGCTGCAAGAATATGCAAAAAACCCATCTGTCAACTGGAAACACAAAGATGCAGCCATTTACCTAGTGACATCTTTGGCATCAAAAGCCCAAACACAGAAGGTGAATCTTTTCAATATAGTTTTGTTTTTAAAATAGACTTGGTGTGGTAATCACAGAAATCAGAAAGAAGTAATACATTTCTAATGATCAGCCTACTTTGCTAGATAACCTGTTAGTTCTGATTCGAATTCATATAGTCTCCCAAGATGACTTTACATTGATATATTAAGCACTTTATTTTCTTATGGATAGAAAACTGATAGATACCACACTTGTTTCCCTTAGCTGAGACTTGGTGTATATAATGTGCTTAATTTAAATTTAGCTGTTCCTTAAATTAGGGAGATTTCTTTATTGTCTATTAAAATAGTCTTGGTTTTTTATATTTAAGCAGTTTGTGATTTGAAGTGTTCATCTCCATTTGTAACCTGTTTGTTATTTTAGAGGGGGGTGAGGGGCAAATGGAGAAGGGGAGAGAGACTCTTAAGCAGGCTTCAGGCATCACAACCTTGAGATAATGACCCAAGCTGAAATCAAGAGTCAGACGCTCAACCACCTGAGCCAACGAGGCGCCCCATAACCTGTTTTTTAAAAGTTGCCTAAATTTCCTATGTGATAGATTGTATCAGATGTATACAGGTATTTCATGTCATTTACCCTGTTAAAAATTGTTTTTCAGCATGGAATTACACAAGCAAATGAACTTGTAAACCTGACTGAGTTCTTTGTGAATCACATTCTCCCTGATTTAAAATCAGCTAATGGTGAGTTTGTGAAAAATTTTTTATGCCACTTACTTTTTACTTGAGTGGTTTTTTTTGTTTTTGTTTTTTAAGTATCTAGTATCTCTGCATCCAACGTGTGGCTAAAACTCAAGACCCTGAACATCAGGATTCACATCCTCTACTGATTGAGCCAGCCAGGCACCCCTGCATTGTTATTTTATACTACAAAATAAGTAACATGGCAAAAGTCATAAGGTCATAATCGGGGCTCTACAGCACCGTGATACTCAAAAAATTGGCTCCTGTCCTTGTGGCAGTTATTCCTTTTTTTTTTTTTTTTTTAAGGATTTTATTTATCTGAGAGAGAGAAATGGGCAGGGGGACGAGCAGAGGGAAAAGCAGACTCTCCGCTGAGCAGGGAGAGGGGGGCTCAATCCCAGGACCCTGAGATCATGACCTGAGCTGAAGGCAGATGCTTAACCCAATAAGTCACCCAGGCGTCTCTGCAGTTACTTCTTTTATTGAATAAAATCTCAAATGGTTTCCCCAGATTTTGCACTGTTGAAATTAACTTTCTTTAAAGAAGATGTTGCTTGTATAGAAGGAAAATAGGAACAACTAAGATGAAATTGTAGCTCAGCTTTGTTAGGCTGGTGCATACTCTAGGAATTATACTTCAGTTTTCTTTCCCTTCTCATTTAAAAAATGTAATCTTAAAAATTGAAGTAAATTTAAAGTACTTCAAACTGATAATTAAGGATAACTTCTTATGTTTTTTTTTTTTTTAAAGATTTTATTTATTTGAGAGAGAGAATGAGATAGAGAGAGAGAGCATGAGACAGGGGAGGGTCAGAGGGAGAAGCAGACTCCCTGCTGAGCAGGGAGCCCGATGCGGGACTCCATCCTGGGACTCCAGGATCATGACCTGAGCCGAAGGCAGTCGCTTAACCAACTGAGCCACCCAGGCACCCTTTTTTTTTTTTTTTTTTTAAGATTTTATTTATTTGAGAGAGAGAGAATGAGAGAGAGCACATGAGAGGGGGGAGGGTCAGAGGGCAAAGCAGACTCCCTGCCGAGCAGGGAGCCCGGTGCGGGACTCGATCCCGGGACTCCAGGATCACGACCCGAGCCGAAGGCAGTCGCCCAACCAACTGAGCCACCCAGGCGCCCGGATAACTTCCTATGTATGAAAGTATATACATTATATATTCCCTTTCTAAAAACTTTTTGTATGGCAGGCACCTGGGTGGCTCACTCAGTTAAGTGTCTGACTCTTGATCTCAGCTCAGGTCTTGATCTGAGGGTCATGAGCTCAAGTCCCATGTTGGACTCCATGCAGGGCATGGGGCCTACTTTTTAAAAAAATAAAAAAGCTTTTTGTAAGGAAATTTTAAATATACTAAGAGGGAGAATATTGTAATGGACATCCACGTGTACTGTCATCTGGCTTTAAGAATTTTAAGTAATTGATCAGTATTCTTTTTTCACTAATTTATTTTCCCACCATTAGAGCAGTTTAAAGGAAATCCCAGCCAGTGCTTGCTTTGACAGCACATATATTAAAGCAAATCCCAGCCTGAGAGACATGTTTTTGATTCAGAATAGCTTCACTTCTAGCTAAAAGATGATATATGGTTATTAGCTTGTGGTCTAAATCATTTTTATTCAATTAATGTAAGTAGTAAGTGCATGTCCATTTGTAATGAAACTTACAAAAGGAAAAAAAATTAATCATAATCTTACCAGAACGAATAGCTACATAGTAGATCTTTATATAATTAAATAAGCTTCAATTATTTGACATTATGGTTACCAAAACTGTTTCAAAAATCTGATAATGTTGCCAATCTGGGCGTAATAGTCCTGAGCACTTAAATAACTATGGTTTTATTTTTTTAATAGTGAATGAATTTCCTGTCCTTAAAGCTGATGGTATCAAATACATTATGATTTTTAGGAATCAAGTAAGTAGCTTTTGATTTATGTGTTATATGCCATTTAATCTCTTAAGTTTTATTGTATACCAGCCTCTCTTCCCTTCTATGCAGTCCTTCTTGACATCCACATCTAACAGAATGATAACTTCTTAAGAACTTAGGATTCCAGACCATGCTTAATTTTCTTTGTCTCAAAAATAATCATTATACAGTGATTTTCATAAAAAATTGGGATCCGAACAAGGTACACACATTGCTTATGGTTGATTATGTGTCTTGTCTTTCTTTTAAGATTTTATTTATTTATTAGAAAGTGTGCACAAGCAGGGGGGAGGGGCAGAAGGAGAAGCAGACTCACTGAGCAGGGAGCCCAACATAGGGCTTGATCCCAGGACCCTAAGATCATGACCTGAGCCAAAGGCAGATGCTTAACGTACTGAGCCACCCAGGCACCCCTGTGTCTTGTTTCTTATTTGATGACAGAGGTCTCCTCCCCTTTCATATGCCTGTTATTTGTTGGAGAAACCTGTCATTTATCTTACAGAAGTTTTTCACATTGTACTTTTAGCTGTTTGCATTCTCGTGTGTTTATGGTTTTATTACATACTTGTTTCCACAAAAGTTTTATAGTATTCCATAGGTTTAAAATTTTATTTATATAGGGGCGCCTGGGTGGTTCAGTCATTAGGGTGTCTGCCTTCGGCTCAGGTCATGATCCCAGGGTCCTGGGATCAAGTCCCACATCAGGCTCCCTGCTCAGCGGAAGCCTGCCTTTCCTTCTCCCACTCCCCCTGCTTGTGTTCCCTCTCTCGCTGTCTCTCTCTCTCTCAAATAAATAAAAAATCTTAAAAAAAAAAAATTTTTTTTATTTAATATAAATGGTATGCTATAGGTTCGTTCTACACATGTTGTCTTTTTTTACTGTGCTTGATATTGTTTTTGAGACGTACTCATTTTAGTAGATGTAGTTCATTTTTTAATAGTTGTGTGGTATCCCCATCATAAGACTATCCAGTTTATAATTTCTTGATTTATAATTTTTATGTCTTTGGCACATATTTACAAGGGTTACATGCAACCTTGTGAAGCTGCTCTGCTTTATTTTTTAAAAGATTGATTTATTTTTTTTAAATTTTTTTTATTTTTTAAAGATTTTATTTATTTATTTGAGAGAGAGAATGAGAGAGAGCAAGCACATGAGAGGGGGGAGGGTCAGAGGGAGAAGCAGACTCCCTGCCGAGCAGGGAGCCCGATGCGGGACTCGATCCCGGGACTCCAGGATCATGACCTGAGCCGAAGGCAGTCGCTCAACCAACTGAGCCACCCAGGCGCCCTAAAAGATTGATTTATTTATTTGAGAGAGAGATTGAGCACACATGTGTGTGTGGGGGGGGGCACAGAGGGAAGGAGAGAGAGTGTCAAACAGACTCTGCCAAACGCGGAGCCCAATGCGGGGCTCAGTGTCATGACCCCAAGACCACCACCTGTCTCAAAATCAAGAGTCAGATACTCAGCCAACTGCACCACCCAGGCTCCCTGAAGCTGCTCTATTTTAAAGAGTAATGGATGGGAATTCTAAATTTTTAGATGTTTCTTTCTTTTTTCTTTCTTTCTTCCTTTCCTTTCCTTCCTTTTCCTTCCTTCCTTCCCTTCCTTCCCTTTCCTTTCCTTCCCTTTCCTTCCTTCCTTCCTTCCTTCTTTCCTTCCTTCCTTCTCCTTCCCTCTCCTTCCTTCCTTCTCCTTCCCTTTCCTTCCTTCCTTCCCTTTCCTTACTCCCCTTCCCCTTCCATAGGCTCCACACCCAGCATGGAGCCCAACACAGGGCTTTGAACTCACAACCCTGAGATTAAGACCTGACCTGAGATCGAGTCGGACGTTCAACTGGCTGAGCCACCCAGGCGCCCCTAGAATTTTCTAATGAAGATTAGTATTCTTATTTTTGCACCACCCCTTTTTTTAGAAGAGAAAATGAGGCACAGACAGCTTAAATGACTTTTCCAAGAAATACCTGCTAGTGAAAAGTGTAGTTCTTAATATTAATGAAATCTTAGTTTGCTTGTCCATTATAGTACTATTTCATGATGTGTGTTTTTATCTGCAAGATTTTCCTCTAACCATAGTTTAATGCTCAGAGAAAGAGAATTGTGAATGTGAATTGAGCCATTACATGGAGGTAGAAGTTTGATTTCTCATCCGTATCGTCTCCCATTGTAACAGCTGAAAAAAACACACTTTCCATAATCAGCAAGCCCTTCTAAGGTTGCATCATTGACTTAAAGCATGCATATTATTGTGTTTTTCAGGTACCAAAAGAACATCTTTTAGTCTCTATTCCTCTCTTGATTAATCACCTTCAAGCTGAAAGTATTGTTGTTCATACTTATGCAGCACATGCTCTTGAGAGGCTGTTTACCATGAGAGGGCCGAACAACACCACTCTGTAAGTATTTGATTCTAAACAATTTCTATTTTTTCAGCTTAGGGTGGGGAACTGTTCTGTGCTGCTCAAAGTTCTCTTTGACTATATTCATAATGTCATTAGTTTGAAAAATAAATGTGTACTTTTCCCTCATTTAATAATTCTGTCTCAGTCCAAAAAGATGAGGTCGTATGCTAAAAATAGATACATTATGACAAAAAGTTAAATAGGAAATTGGAGCAAAGGAAAATAATGGGGTGAGATTCTAAAAAGAAATGTGTGTCCAAGGATCCTGTTCAGGAGTTAAGGAAACTCCTGCAATTTGTGTGCTGTCTCCTTGCAACCAAGGCATAGAGGGCAACTTGGTAAGTTAAAATTTTCAGTGTCCTTGAGATTAAAATTAAACAGTTACTTAGAAGGCAACTCAGAAATGGGCCTTCATTAAGGGGGTGTTCTTGCAACATCATGCAACAAAGTTGTTTTTACGTGGCCATTTTTGCATTATTACCCCATGTGGAGATAGGACACAACTGAGTGAAAATAATTCCCTAGGATCCCAGACAGTAGTTCTTCTGACCTGAGCCAAGGAGACAATGTAGAGGAATGGACGGTCTGCGTGTCTTTCAGGCCATTCTTCAGCAGTGTTATTTCTTGAAACTGAGCTTTGGGTAAGAGATGGAAAACAGTTCTAGGTTCTTTTCTTCTTTAAGAACTTGAAGTGCAGATATTCTTAGAGCCAATTAAGGGTTGAAAGGACATCCTTTGAGGTGAGTCAAACCAGTACCTGTCTTCAGGCCCAGAACTCAATGCAGAATTTATGCACCTGCTCCAGGAAAAGCAAATGACTGAGACCCCGAGTCGGAGCTCTATTCTCGGTGAGGATGGATATGACCCAAGGGTGACCTGAACAGCTTTAGATGTCCGGTTTGCCTGGATTTTGGTTTGTGTTTGATCCCAGATGTTCCTTTTTAGGAATTTTACATGAACACATGTAAACAGTTACTTTCCTAAGCTGTCTGTTGATTGTCAGTGGTGGGAGATGGCTAGCTTTTATGCCAAGAAGTGTGATTTAGTGGTTGCCCAAGGGTATTCCAGAGTGATCAGCTCAAGAGTTGGCAGTGACTGAAAGCTGTTTTTTCATCTATAGCTTTACAGCCGCAGAAATCGCACCGTTTGTTGAGATTCTGCTAACAAACCTTTTCAAAGCTCTCACACTTCCTGGCTCTTCAGAAAATGAATATATTATGAAAGGTAGGCCGTTTCCCTGGTGTATAGACTATAAGAACCCCATCTCCGATTACAGGGGCGAATGCTCTGAGTTGTACTTTAGGTTACGTAGTCTATGAACCAGATATTGTGGGCTAAGCATTAGGTAGGTTTAGATTATTTTTAAATGGAAAACCTTTTGTTTACTGTTAATGGTATTTTCAGAAAAAAATTTACCCTAGTTTGGTATAGAGCTCCTCTTGTTAAAGTAGCAAACTCCCTTTTTCTTTACCTAGATTGATTTTGTTGAGGGCAGAGATCAGACGAGACTTTTGTTGATGGCTTGCTAGATGCTAGGCTAGGTCTTGGCGTGAAGCCCGGGTGCACTTGCTGGGCTGCACACGCATCCTGCCTCCGCAGAGCTACTGCCAAGAACACAGGCAGCTGTCAGCCCCTGCCCACTGCCACAGGAGAGCGTCATGGTGACCGCTCTGACTTAGTCACTGTTGCATTCCAGCAGCCTAGCTGCGTCTGACTCCTAGGAAATGCTTTTCAAACAAACTGTCCCTGATGGCGGGTCAGGCCCCCTGGGGTATGTTGTGTATCTGTGTGTACATGTGTTTATATGTGTATCTAGGTATGTATTTGTGTTTTCAGCACCGTACTTCTCCCAGTGGTGATGCGTGACTGCTGTTGTTGAATGTCTGTCTCTGTGAGGTTAACTGGCGTGTAGTCTCATTACTGTGTTCCTAGGGTGTGCGAGAGCACCCGGATGCATACCTTCTCAGTAGTACTGTTGGATGAGTGAGTCAGCAGACTCTGCCAGCCCAGAGGTGGGGCACTGACCCATCCTCAAACCCCTTGACCCCCCCAGCTCAGGGATGGTTTTCTCTAGGGAGTGAGGGATACGCAGTGGTTAGCTAGCTGGAAGGTGAGTCTGGCTGAGGGAGAAGAAACATGGCCAAGTTTAGGGGGCAACAGAGGATAACTTTCTATCCTCTGTGCCTGATACATAGTAGCTGCTGTGCTTGGTAAACATCTATTCTACTTGTGCAGAAACAATTATGTACATTTTTAGCTTAATAATGTCTCTCTCATGCCAGATGTTTTTAGGCATCTATTAATGAGCAGTATTCTTGTAGTGTGGACCCTCCGTAGCTTTATGTGTATTTTTAGATTTTTCTTGGGCTCCTAATCTCTCTTTTGGAGGGAGATGGACAGATGGTCTTCTCTCAGTTTTTGGTAGGCTGTGATGTGTCCATTAGGCTAGGGCTAAACATTACCTGCCATTGATTTTCTAAGTGAAGAGACTGGAAACTGTACTCTCTTCCAGCTACTGCCCCCCTTCCCCTGTCATTCTACCACTTCTTCCTGCTCAGTGTTTGCCTTTTTAGTCATTTATTATTTCTTACTGTCCCTTTTTCCTTTTAAGCCTTAGGCTTTCTGAAAGTACCTAAATTTTGTTGTCAGTCCTTGGCATAATTTTGAAAGGAAAGGACATTTAGATTGTTTATAGAGAGCTATCTGGGGGTTGCTTAAGGGTCTTAAAATTTTGTTGGTGAGTCTGTGGACTTTTTTTTTTTTCTTCGTAATCACTCTTTCTGAATTTTAACTATTCTTGCTCTTTTTATATTTTACAGCTATCATGAGAAGTTTTTCCCTCCTACAAGAAGCCATAATCCCCTACATCCCCACCCTCATCACTCAGCTTACACAGAAGCTTTTAGCTGTTAGTAAGGTAACAAGACCAGTTTTAAGAGTACAGTTGCTTTTTAACTTATGCTTCAAACTGTTTGAGCCTCAGAACTCTCTGGCAGTGGGTCAGGCTTAGGAAAAGTTCTCTGGATTCTTCCTGACCAACAGTTAAGTACCTTTTAAAAGTGTGGGGAGATATTAGATTGGAGACATTACAGCACTTGCCTTTATAAGTGTAGGTCCAGAAACTTTAAAATGTTTCATTTGAATTATTCTCATTTAAAAAGTAACATGTTTCATTGACTACAATTGAAAAAGTACAGAAGTAATTGATCTGAAATGATCTTAGATGCAGGAAAGCAGGCTCTGTACCAAGTGGACAAAAAAAAGGCTACTCAGACTTTTATAAAATGATGTAGTCCCTTGTGTCTGGTCTCCTTTACTCTTATTTCCCCCAAGTAAGGTCCATTCCTTTGATCAAAAATTTTACAGATATTTTGATTTCATATTTATTAATACTAAGATTTAGAAAATAAAAGTCAGCTTAAGGCTGCCAAAATTCTTGTTGAGATGCCTGTTCCTAATTACTCTGTGGAAAAGAAATAAATGTATAGAACTATTACAGGGACTTTGGAGAACAGTGATCATTTTCCCATTGAGTTCTGGTAAGGGTGTTGGACTGCTTTGGGCCTTGGGGGATTTAGAGAGAAGAGACCTTGGGTCTTCCACTGTCCCCCGCCCCAAACTTCTAAGTTCATCAACTTCATATGGTAGCCTTCCAAGAAGGACTTCGTTTGATGGAAAATAGGGTTATGTTGCTTTGAAAATTGAAAACCACTGATAGAAAGGAGTGCCACTCTGGAGGTACAGACATTGAGACCCATAGAGGTTAAGGCTTGCCTAAGGTCCCACACAAGGCTAAAGGCACAGCCTGGTCATACATGTCCCTGCTCGTTTCTTCCAGCACTGCTTACAGGGTTGGCTCTGGGGGAGCACGTGGCTTTCAGACAAGTTCCTTATAGCACTGGGAACACTGAAGCTCGTGGAGTCCTCTGCCTGTGACTTATTTTTCATAGTGGACTTTTGTCCATTAAAAGAAAAGAAAATAGAAATAGGCATTAGTATTGTTTTATTTTCTGAATTTTAAAGTCCATATAAAACTTTAACATATATGTAGGCAAGTGTAATTGAGGTTTTTTTTTTTTAGTACTGATTTTTTTTAAAAGATGGCCTCTCAGTGTGTTTTAGAAGGGATTGGTGTGTGTGTTTTATTTTAGATATTTAATACAGTCACTTGGATTATTGGAGAGTGGTGGTAAGCTTTCTGTTTTTAATTTCAGAATCCAAGCAAACCTCACTTTAATCACTACATGTTTGAAGCGATATGTTTGTCCATAAGAATAACTTGTAAAGCTAACCCTGCTGCTGTTGTAAATTTTGAGGAGGCTTTGTTTCTGGTGTTTACTGAAATTTTACAAAATGATGTACAAGGTAAGTTAAAAGAAGTTATTTTCTTTCTTACTGAATAAAACTATTAAAGTGGCTATTAAAATGGAGCCTGCCTGTGAGGTATGTGCCTTTTTGTGGGAGCCATTAGTTATGAAGCTGACAGCTCTGTTTTTACTTTTATCAACAGAATTTATTCCATACGTCTTTCAAGTGATGTCTTTGCTTCTGGAAACACACAAAAATGATATCCCGTCTTCTTACATGGCCTTATTTCCTCATCTCCTTCAGCCAGTGCTTTGGGAAAGAACAGGAAATATCCCTGCTCTGGTGAGGCTTCTCCAAGCGTTCTTGGAACGCGGTTCAAACACGATAGCAAGTGCTGCGGCTGACAAAATTGTGAGTGGGATTTATTTTGATGTCATTGTCATTTTATAAGGTAGCGGAGAGAACTGAGGATAGTGGAGTTTTAAAAATTCTTAAGTAAAATAAATGTAACAAAGTAGTTATTAGAAAATATTAATGTATATTTTACTACAATTAGGTATCCTTTAATTATCTCCATGGTAGGAGATAAAAAAATAGAGCCAAATAGGTTAATTTCAGGAACTTAACTTTAAGGCTTATTGTGATGGGATATTTTCTGACTATACTTCAGAAGTAGGAACAAAAGTGAAAACGCTAATTATTATAGCATGCACCCTTTTCCAAAACATCACCTGCTTAAAGTGTAACTTTCAGAACAGTTAATCCTTGCCTCTTTAACGGAGTATTATTTGATCTAATTTGTTGTAGCCTGGGTTATTAGGTGTCTTCCAGAAGCTAATTGCATCCAAAGCCAATGACCACCAAGGTTTTTATCTTCTAAACAGTATAATAGAGCACATGCCTCCGTGAGTATGAGTATAACCCTCACTGTATAGATTACTCAAGGACTGTTGGGTACTCAGAAGATGCTGACTTGATGCATTGTTGGTTTTATTCACTTCTTTAGTGAGTCCGTTGATCAGTACAGGAAGCAAATCTTCATTCTACTATTCCAAAGACTTCAGAATTCCAAAACAACAAAGTTTATCAAGAGTAAGTAAAATTGGGGCACCTAAGTGGTTCAGTCGGTTGAGTGTCTGCCTTTGGCTAGGGTCATGATCCCAGGGTTCTGGGATCGAGCCCCACATTGGGCTCCCTGTTTGGTGGGGAGCCTGCTTCTCCCTCTCTCTCTGCCTCTCCCCCTGTCTTATGCTCTCTCTCTCTCTCTTTCTGTCAAATAAATAAAATATGAAAAAAAAAAAAAAGTAAAATCATTTGGCTCTTCTTACAGAAATAAGGAAGGAAAGTAGCTAAAACCCTTAGCCTTTATGGTTACACATAAACGTTTTATCAGTTTTAAGCTTTTTCTATAAAATATTTTAAGATGTTTGTATTCTCCAAATAGTAAGTCACTTTCAAATATATTGTGTTCCAAAGGTTAGTGTCTTAAGTTTAGATATCAAAACATTTTTTGTCTATACTGTATGTTAATTGTATAATAAAGGGAATATTGATCCCAAAGTTACCCATTGATTTTAATGATTATGACTATTTCACGTGGCAGACTTGTGCTGAATCACTTGTTTAGTGCACTGAGGCCTCTGTATTGATATTCTGTATCTCCTTTCAACAGGCTTCTTAGTCTTTATTAATTTGTATTGCATAAAATATGGGGCGCTGGCACTGCAAGAAATATTTGATGGCATACAACCAAAGTAAGTTTGTTTTTATTACTTACTGTATTTTGTTATTTAAAGCAAAAAAAATTGACTACTTTTAGCACAAACCAGTATTTCTATTTTATAGATGGTTTTATAGTTCTTGGTGGAGCTATATATCTTTGTGGTTTTCAAAATATTCTTAGGACTGTTGAGTTGCAAAGAAGAAAATCCCTGCAAACATTTTTCTAACTCCCCCCCGCTGCCTTCTACACAGCCAGTGTTCTGTGTGATTCTGGATGGTTGGGGTTGTCTCCAGGAGCCTGCCTTTGTTAAGGCCAGGAGTGTGATTTTTCAGATGAAAGTCTTTGCTTTTCACTTAGTGTACATACAAAGAATGTAGTTAGATGGTATTTCCCATTTCATAGGGAAAGGAAGGATAGAAATGATAGAGAAGAATTTGAAGAAAAAACTCAAGTGAGATCCCTGTGTTGGTATTATATCAAAAAAATTCCAGACTGACTGAGATGAAAAAAATGAATTAGCCTGAAAAAGTAGTACCAGAATATATGCTTTTCAGCTGTAGAGATTTGTGAGGAAATCAGTTTCATGAACTGCTAGTGGGTAAACCGGTGTGATCTTTCTATAAAGCAAAAAATAATACCTAGAATATTAAAATGTCCAGTATCTTTGATATCCACTATTTCCACTTCAGGTAATTTTAGTGAAGTAGAAACTGAGGATTTTACATCGTTTGGTATTGCTCTTAGGATGTTTGCAACAACATATTAGATTGGTGGCTAAATAATTTTTATAATATAGTCATTAACATTTATATCCTTATAGATACGTAAACATAGGAAGTTGGTAAGTTTATAATCCAGTAATGTTAAAACTCGTTATTACTGGATAGTGGGGTGGTGATGGGTAATTCTTTTTCTTCTTTCTCTTATCTAATTTCTAATTTTTCAAAGATTTGAGTAAATAAAAAAAATTGTGCCAGAAAAGCGGTTGTGAAGATTCCACATGAGCACAGACTAGTATTTCACAGAAGTTGTTAGGAGCACTTGGCCACAGGGCCGAAGTTTGAGGTTTCATTTTTGCTTTGTCATCTCTAGGTCTCTGCCATTCAGTTGGCCAAAAATAGTAGCTCTGTATTTTGGATTTTATCATGTCCCTAAGGAGTCAGTGTAAGTAACATCTAATAAGCATTTCACAGTTTAATTATAGTGATAGTCTAATGTTTTATTTTAATAGAATGTTTGGAATGGTTTTGGAAAAAATCATTATTCCTGAAATTCAGAAAGTATCTGGAAATGTAGAGAAAAAGATTTGTGCGGTTGGCATAACGAAATTACTAACAGAATGTCCCCCAATGATGGACACAGAGTATACCAAGCTATGGTAAGTAGTACTCCAAACTTTTTGGGAATTACAGCTTCCTTCCCTTATGACTGCAAAATTAAACAAGCTTATTGTCCTGAGGGCTGAGAATTGGGTTCTGATGTCAGGTTCTCCACTAGCAACCATCAGATCCAAGACAGGACATGTGGGTCCTTCTGGATCTAGAAAGATGTTTCCTGATTCTTAACTTTATCAGAGGGGGTTCCTGTGCCCCCTCTGAGAATCTGGTGAACATTGCTGGTCTACAGGATCTCTAGGAATGTTCATGACAGACACTCAGCTAAGTTGGCTTAAATCTTTAAGTGGAGAAATTGAATAGGCTAAAAGAGGATCTTATGTGCTTGTGCTCCATGACTGGTATTCCTGGCTTTTCTTGACCTCTTGCTCTCAGGAACCTTGCCTCATTTTGGGTTCACTCAGGCACCGTCTTCAGAAAAGGATCTGATGATTCAAGGCCTATTTCTTCTAACTAACTTCTGGCAGCAGTGAATCTCTGGTTTGGCTTCAGTCACATGGCCTTCTTGGCCAGTGGGTCACACAGCCAGCTGGACAGCTCTGGGGATGGAGTAGTTTCCAAAAGGGAAATTGGCGTGCTGTGGCCGAAAAGAAGTTAAGAGTGGTTTTGGAGGATACATGTAGGAACTGATGTCCATCCCATTTCAAAGGTCCCTTGCAGCTCTTGAGACTGTGCCTCTATGATTTGTGTCTCTGAGGAATTGCTGCTTTTTGTTTAGATCTTCAGAAGTATTCACTTTATCTTTTGTCTGCTTGCTTGCTTCAAATCCAGGACTCCTTTATTACAGTCTCTGATTGGCCTTTTTGAGTTACCTGAAGATGATACCATTCCTGATGAAGAACATTTTATTGACATAGAAGATACACCAGGGTATCAGACCGCCTTCTCACAGTTGGCATTTGCTGGGAAAAAAGAGCATGATCCTGTAGGTCAGATGGTGAACAATCCCAAAATTCACCTGGCACAGTCACTTCACAAGCTGTCTACCGCCTGTCCAGGAAGGGTAAGTGTGTTGTCCAGGAACTCTGATGAACAGACCCCTTTCTGGGAAGGCAAGAAGGTAGGAGTTATGCTGGTGCCTATAGTTAGGCCTTAATTTTCTTTCGTTAAAATGATGTGCTAGAAGTAGATTTTAAGCAAATGACTTTTGGAATAAGGACAAAGCAGGGGATAAAACCCCCTCACACCTCCTCCACACACTTTTTAAGTTTTATTTATTTATTTAAGTAATCTCTACACCTGACATGAGGCTTGTACTCACAACTCCCAAGATCTAGAGTCGCTGGCTCCTACTGAGCCAGCCAGGCACTCTAAAACCCTTTGAATAGAAATGTATTTATTTCCCAGATTGAAATCACTCTTCTATTAAAATGTAGGCATTTTTTTTTTAACTGCAGCATACTCAAATATTGGATCATGGAGTAAACATAATGGCTGTAGAGTTGCATTATCTAGCACCTGTTACAGAGTCTTCTAGATGATTGGAGAAAATGTGTATTTTTCAATGTTTCATTATGGAAAACTTCAAACACATAGAAACAGCATAATGAACCTTCACATACAGACCCTTCAAAAAGTACCAGTGTTCTGCCATTCTTGTTGCATGTGTTTCTCCTTGGGCATGATGTCATTTCACCTATATGTACTTAATTATGCATTGCTAACCAATAAGGACTTTTTTTTTTAATCCCCACAATGCCACTACCACACTGAACAGCAGTAATTCCTTATGGATCTGCTTTTTAGACCTATCCAGTTCTGAAGGTGTAAAGCAGTTGAGGTCCATGAGAATCTCTGCAAGAGTCACTGGTGATGGACTGCCCTTCCCAAGACACAGCAGTTCTGGAGAAGATGGGGCTTGTGTTGGTTTAGTAGGATCTCCAGGAACCAGCATGTTTCCCATCTCTTGTAGGTTCCCTCGATGGTGAGCACCAGCCTTAATGCGGAAGCGCTCCAGTATCTCCAGGGCTACCTTCAGGCGGCCAGTGTGACACTGCTTTGACCTGCGTTTTCCAGATTGGCTAAGCCAAGGATGGTTTCTGAGGAAATCACATAGACGTCTGAGCACAGCTGCATTAAAGCAAGTTTTCCTTTTGAACTTGTCACAAATTCCATCTTGTAAAGAATATTAAATGTTGCTTTAAGCTGAATCTTGAGCAAATTAGGTGGTTTGTGTGATCATAAATAGAAGTGGGTGACTTTCCAGTTTGCAGCTTCCAGGGACAGGTATTAGTTCAGTATATGATCATGAGTTGAGCATTTGCACTGTTGGGATAACTTTAAAATTCTGATGGACACTGAGCGTGGAGACTTTTTTCTGTTACTAAATTGTTTTGTTTTGAGGCATTGCAATTTGTGTTTCTCTCCTTTGTATTTTTGTCTGTTTCCGTAAGCTTTTATTGGAAATGTGAGTAAGTAAAGAATCACTGGTGTAACTTGCCAAGAAATGCACATTTCATAGTTTTAAATCTAAGAAGTTTTTTTTTTAAAGCCCTCAAATATGTATCTAAGAACATCTTAAAGACAGGTTTTTGGTGCTAATACTATTATAATGAGTTTCTTTAAATAACTGAAATTCAAACTCAGTCTTTCCTTACCAGGGAAAAGGGAACATTAATAAAGGTTTGGGGCTTATCTATTAGAACTTTTTTGGACCCATTTCTAGATGGCAGCATGAACTCTGGGCAGATGGTTCCCTCTGTGGATCGGGGAAGAGATGCCCTAGCTGGCTTCACGAGGCTGTTGCGTAGGTTAGACTGCATAGACGTTTGCCCTTTTTGAGAGTGTCTGTCTTATCTGCAGATTGGTGGTTACTTGGAACTTTTCAAAGTACAGCCTGAGGTCTAGGATGAGCCATGAGAGTGGGTATACACTAGCAAACAAGGCTGCCTGGGCAGGTTCTGGAACAGTTGGGTTTTTGGGGAGTAATCAGACTAGCTCAATTGAGAGGCATAGTTTACTTCTGCTGGAATTGTCCGTTCAGTGCAGATTAAATTGAAATCTCATTCTGCACACATCAGTGATCTCTTTTAAACTTCAGGCACCTGACTTGAATGTTTTTTCTTCACATGCTGTTTTTGTAGCGTTGCGTGAGAAACCCTCCAGCTTAATCAGTCTAAGTGTTGTATCAATCATTTTTTTTTTGTCTTGACATAGTAATGGAAGCATTAAATCATATATCACTATTTAAGTGGTCACTGGCAAGATATTGAGATATTATTGGGATCTACTTTTGAAGTATAATTTAATACAGGTAAAAAATCTGTAGTGGAAAACAGTCGGTGGTGATGATTTTTGTTTGCTGCTTCTTACATAAGCTCCGAGAGCACCTGTTTGGCAACGATCGGGTAGAGCTCTTGGTGAACAGTTAAGTAAATAACACAGCACATTCTGTTGCAGAGAACCCTTGCTTCAGCATCTTAGCCTCGGAGGACTGAGCACGTTGTGAATTTTTTCCTCCTCAAAACCACCAGAAGATGGTTTGTCTTTGTAAATGTGCCTTTTAAAATAGTTTCTGAACAGAAAGACTGGTACCTTTCCTATCCTTTACTCTGGCACAAGTCATTAATTCTGCTAATGTTTAAAAATGCTTTAAATGGAGGTTTCTCATTCCATCATCTTAGACAGTTTACCTAGCTTTTAAAGATTTTAACAGCTGGTATGTAGTGAGTTTCTGACAGGTCTTAGTGACTTTCTCAGTGTGGTGATGCCAATTCTTTGTGGATGTAAAGAGTTGGATTCATACTTTGAGATTGGGCCAACCTGGGTTTGAATTACTCTGCGTGTGACATGTATGACCTTGAGCAAATGACTCAGCCTCTCCACTTTGATGTCTTCTGAAAAATGAGAAAAATCACCTTCAGGATGGTTGTAAGATGTAAAAAAGACATACTTTAAGCAGAGAGCATATGCAGAGTTAAGTACTAATAAGTAAAAGCAGCTATTTGATTGTTTAGGATGGGCTTGGGGGCAAGCGCAGGGTGGGGGGTTGCCTTGGAGGAAGGGTTTGTTACTGAACAGGGCAGAATGCCGCCCTATCTTAGCAGTGGTGGTGTAGTTCTGGGGGGGTGGGAAGGGGAAGACTTTTCAGAAGAGTCCCAGCCCAGGGGGTAGTTTTAGACACAGGGGAGAAAGGTATCTAACCTGCGAAGTTCCTCATGAGAGCCTCCTGCTGCTTCCACAGATTCTGTTTGAGCACATCTCCCCTTGTAACAGCTTGATTTTTAAAAGTAACATTTCTGATATAAATGTATTTTCTTTGTTGGAAACTTGGTAAACACAGAAACCTACCTTCAAATATTTTGGCTTTTCCCCCTAAACAGAGTTGAGATCATTTATGATTTGATATGCTTTTTAAACATTTAACAATAATTATAACCACTGTTGGAAATGATAAACTCTTGAAGTGAACATTCTTTATACAGGAGTCCCTCTCTTTCCTGACGGTGGGATTACTGAGCACTTGTCCCGAGGAAAGCTTCGTGCCAGTTGCTGTAGCCCGGCCCTCCCCACACGAGTGCCGTAGCCAGTCTGGGTTTAATTCAACTTTACCCACGTGTGGTAACGGAGCGATGGCCTTCCGGTTTTCAGCTCCTGGGGCCTTTAGTTCTTCGTCTCCTCAACTGGCAGATCACCCTCCCTGCTATGAGAAGTAAAAAACTAGGTCGCACTTCTTAGATCTTCCTCGGTGGTTCTCTTCAACTTTGGCCACGGTTTCTTGGCTCCTCAGTATCTGTGATAAGGTAACTCCGATGTCACAGGAGAGGGCGCTCCGTCCTGTGCAGTAGTCCCTTATCCGCTGGGCTTTATCTGTAGGTGTCTTTTAAAGGGGGGAAAGTGAGAATCCGTACTTGAGTACTGTTTGGCTCGGATGTGTGACTGCAAGACTTGCCCCTGGGCCATCCTGGGGTATGCTGAGGGGCTGCTCTTTTGTAGGGCAAAGGAGCTTCATGGACCCGTTGAAAATAACTTGAGGTCATTTCTAGTGGATTCTCCAAAAGACCTAAGCGGCTCCGGTTACAGCTACAGGGACACACGGGCCCAGGGGGGTTGCTGCGTGATAGGTGGTAAAGGCTGTTTCTGAAATGCTCACATGTGGCTGGAGAAGGCAGTCATAAACTAATGAAGTCATTTACCTATTTCTGGGTTTTCTCCCTTCTCGATTAGACAATGTGAGAGAAAAATGTGGCAACAGGGAAGCACTGTCCACGTGAAGAAAGAGCCACAATAGGCAGGTCAGTTTTGCAAAAAGGAGACCATTTAATGGGGAAGCGGGAAACATTAGGAGAAAAGCAGCATATTTATCTTGCACCGGAAAAAGGTCCATCTCCTCACGAGAAGTTAGGGTCACCCCTTCTGAGTCTAGAGGGGATGTGATGACTGCTCCCAGGTAGCTGGGTTTCTGCAGCAAACATCAGCTGAGAACACCTCCTGATCTGTCTCCCAGGCGAGTCCACAGGGCAAAGGGAGGTGGAGCCCAGCATCCACCAGGTCCTGCCCCTCACAGAGCAGGCTGTGTCTCAGGAAGGCCGGCAGCCCCACTGGTGAGATCCCAAGTGGAGGGAGAGCCGCCTCGGTCAGGACTACAGATTTCAGGCTAGAAGGAGGGAGGAAGTTGCTACTCTGGTGCCCGCTGAGCATCCTGGTCAGAGGCTGCAAGACCCTCCCGAGGAGCGGCAGGTGGGGGCGACAGACTCGAGCCGACCGCCACAGGTGGTGCGTTCCAAACCCCCAGGCACGGGAACACCTCACCCTTGGCTCTGACCCTCCGCGCGAAACTCCCTTCAGTCCCAAGGCCAGACTGGCTCTGAACACGGACAGCAGTCTCCAGGGGAGACGTGTGTCTGCAGCAGCAGGGCCGGACGTGCCCTCTGTTTAATTCAAAGGCAGCATCTCTCACCATGATCCACAGCATTTGGGATGCCATCAAGAGGAACGGCTATCATTTAGAGCTCTGTGTTCTGTATTAGAAAAACCCCACTAGCAATGCTGACTGCGAAGCACAGTGGTTCTCAAATTACCACGGCATCACCTAGGAAATTAGAACTATGAGAAATACGCGTTGAGTCCCATACCTACTACACCACAAGCTCTGGAATGGGACCAGCAACCTTTTAACAGCCCTCCACCACGCGAGAGGATGCTCAGTGCTTAAGTCGGTGGGCAGGGACTAGGATAAAGTGAGGTAAAAGTGAATCGATCGAAGAGACACACGGACCTGGTAAAGCTGTGCGCCCTGCTGGGGAGCAGTGCTCTCGAGCTTCGTGGCCTCAGAACTAATGGATGCGCAATTGACAGCTCTGGTTTCGCACAAAGGGGGACAAAGTCAGGGCCCACTAGGGGCCACGGGCCTCAGTGGCCCTCTTCCAAAACTCAGCCACTCCCTACAGTTCCAGCATAGACACAAATTCTTGTTCTCGTGGAATCTGTCACTACAGATTCTCTTGGGAGACTTGCGGTGGCCTGGGGCCTGCATCCCAGTGGGAAGACGTGAGAGCTAGACAGGACAGAACAAGCAAGATTAGGACTGGACACCTCCGGCATGGAATCGGGCAGAGTCCTCTCCATCAGCCCTGAGTGGTGGGCCCAGAGGGCGGACCAGGAGCAGCCTGCTTCCGTGTCCGGCAGTAAGAACACCAGGAGGTAGGTACGAAGCGCTTCCAACACCAGGTGCCCCGAGGAGCTACTGACACGCATTGTCTTGGCGGTGAGAGAGAAGGGAGTTTCTAATTTACAGATAAACTGAGGCACAGAGAGGTGAAATCATTTGAGGTCTCAGCAAAGCGGTGACAGGTCAGGACTGATGCCCTGGCTGGTAGCTGCGCTTGTTACGAGCTCCCACGGCCGTCTAGTTGGGCGCACCGCCTTGCCCTCTGAGGAGGCCCCCAACCGGCTCCTCTGCCAAGTGTAAACATTCGTCCACCTACATCACAGCCCCTCCGTCCTTCAGGAGGTGATCTCTTCACAGCACAGAAGCCTCGTCCACATGGGTGTCTACCCTCTACCATACTGCTCCCTCAGGCAGGCGTTACCTGGCCGAGGCGAGCAATGACAAAGGTTGGCACACCATCTCAGAAAGGGTTGGGGCTTTCAGGGAACAGACTGTTGCCAACAAACCCTCTAGACCCTAACTCGCCAAACTCCGCCAAAAACCGGCGTGTCCCCCTCCCCTAGGGTAGGGGAGGTCTGCACCGCTCTGGTTTCCTTATCACCCTCCAACCACGTTTACACTGCTCTTGACCTTGAGTCCAAGGAGCCACCAGACAGGAGGGTCCTATTAGGGCCCAGAGAAGTTTCAGGCATGACCTCCCAAACCGGGGAGCACAGGCTCAGCTTACAGGACACTGTGGCCACAAATCTCCAGTGGATATTGGCACAGAACAACAAAGGCCCAAGGAGCTTCCAAGCCCTAGAAAATCTCTGGCCGTTTCTTAGGGAGGCCTTTTTGGCAGCCAGAGGAAATACGTGATTAAAAAGGCAGATACCACGGGCGCCTGGGGGGCTCAGTTGGTTAAGCGACTGCCTTCGGCTCAGGTCATGATCCTGGAGTCCGGGATCAAGTCCCGCGTCGGGCTCCCTGCTCGGCAGGGAGTCTGCTTCTCCCTCTCCCGCTCCCCCCTCTTGTGCTCTAATAAATAAAATCTTTCAAAAAAAAAAAAAAAAAAGGCAGATACCACAGAAGAACACAGTCTGAATAATGACAGGATTTGCATAGGTCCTCATTCCAGAACGGGACCACCTGCTCACTAATCTGTCCACGCTCAGCAATGTCAGAGGTCAGAGGGAGACTCACTGCTGCTCCTGCCACAGCCTAAGTGGGGACATCCGTGATGAGCTGAGGCTCAGCGGAGCCCACGGGCTTCTGTGCGGCACGTTCTGGCCTAGCTGGTCCTGCCTGCTCCTGGGCCCTGCTCAGCTTTGTGACGGCACCATGCACATGCGCTGCACATCTGATCGGGAGAAGCTGCATGTGTGGTGGGGCGCCCGGGGGGCTCAGTCGTTAAGCGTCTCCCTTCGGCTCAGGTCATGATTCCAGGGTCCTGGGATCGAGTCCCACGTCGGACTCCCTGCTCGGCGGGAAGCCTGCTTCTCCCTCTCCCACTCCCCCTGCTCTGTTCCCTCTCTCACTGTGTCTCTCTCTGTCAAATAAATAAAATCTTTAAAAAAAACCCAAAGGTTTTAATGAATACCTTTGGGAACACTATGAAGGAGATAATTTTTTATTTGAAAGATTTTTAAGTAATCTCTACACCCAACCTGGGGGCTTGAGCTCAACCCCAAGATCAACAGCCACAAGCCACACCAACTGAGCCAGCCAGCCCCAAAGGAAATATTTTTTAAAAATTAAACGGGGGGTGGGGCACACTTGGGTGGCCCAGTTAAGTGGCCGACTCGACTTCAGCTCAGGTCATGAGATCAAGCTCTACGCTCAGCAGGGAGTCTGCTTGAAGATTCTCCCTCTGCCCCTACATGGATGCACATGTGCTCACTCTAAAATAAATCTTAAAAAAAAAAAAAAAAAAGTAAACTTGGGCTATTAAGCAAAGTAGTACAAATCTCCTAAATTGTAGATAATTTTGCTAATAAAATATGGATGCCATTTAAATTACAAAGAAGTCTAATTAGAATCAGGTGCTTTCACATTTACAGTTTCACATATTCCATATATACACCCTCTGTATCCATTAAACACAGCACTGCAAGTATATAGAGGGACAAGAAGTTCCAAGAAAACAGTTGTGCTGCTTTCATGAATCGAAACCCCCTTGCCCCCAGCTGAGTTAGCCATCGCCTCTCAGAAGAACCCACATTTCTTTTAAAAACCTATTGAGGAAAACCGGCTAACTTCCTGCCAATCCAGCAATGTTCAAGTGCTTAAAAAATCCATTTATGGATTTGGAAATTTCAAGTAAATTTGTCTTTCATGGGCACACAGACATCCTTAAGCCAGAGATGGTAGTGATGGAAGTTTCCAATGTTAAACTACATGCAAGCAAACAAAAGCTGTGCATCCCTGTCCTGGCGTTTGCATCCCAGGGTCCTGTTGTCCCGAGCTCACAGCAGCGCCCTCTACAGCAGGCGGCGGCACGCTGCTTCTCCGGAAGACACGTGCCCTTTCCACAGGCCGCACCAGTAGCCGGCTCCCCCTCTAAGGGGACTTGGGATCCAGGCCAAGGCGGCTGTCACTAGGCATTCACCCTGCAAAGCTACGCACGTCAGCCCAGTGAGCGGGGGAAGGAAACCCAGTGTCCGAAGGGACACTTTTTTCTAAGAACTGTAGGTTACATTCCTATGGCTCAAGAAGGCCTTTCAAAACCAACAAAACCACCAGCTCTGGGGAAATCTTTACTCCTTAAAATCTCCCTTTGGTAAGAGGCATTTTACAAAGTCAAGACAAAATGTCCGCACACGCACTGTGGGTGAGAGACCCAGGCCTGCCTGTCCCAAGGACCACAAGAGCCTCTCCCCTCTGAGGATCGACACTCCACAAATCCTAAGACCCACAGTCTTCTCGTGGCTGACCCAAAGCCCCTTTGGTTATTTCAGACCTGCCTCGGGCGCCTTCCTGTCTCCTTTTCTGCCTGCACTGCAGAACCCAGGACCGCATGAATTGTCCCCAGGGTGGAGCACCTTGTCTTGGCTCTAAGGTTCTTGTAACTGAGCGAGCATACCAGCATGAAACGCGGTGCAGATTCCCTTCCCAGGCAGCTCTGTTCAAGCCTGTTGAGACCTAGGCGGGGGGGGGGACGGGGGGGGGCGCGAGGCAGGGGGCACGGCGTACTGCAGGGAACCCTTGCAGCAGGGGACGGCAGCAGGCCTTCCCAGAGGCCAGACTGGTGTGAGAGTTTACAGTCTCTGAACATTCAAGGACCTCTTTCCAAAAGAGCCAAAGATGCATCGCCCTTGAAAACCAGCCTTTCCAAGAAACCTGGAAATCCATACACCCTCCTTGAGATCAAGGGGAAACGTGCCCTCTCTGGAGTTCTGGCATTCAGAGCCGAACAGCCAACTAGAAGTTGTGATGTACTTCAAACACGGCACCCACCTCTCCCATCGCCCTTTTGCAGCGTGGAGGTCGCCGGCGGGCACGCTTGGGAAGGCAGGGGGCAGCGTGCTGGGCAGAGGCAGCTCGCCTCCCGGAGGCCCGTGAGAACGCCGGGCAGAAGTGGCAGGTGGCAAGTGGGGAGGAGGCGGCTGGCGAGGCCGGGAGATTGCCTACAATCTCAGTATTGGGGAAGGTACTGCAAACAGAGGAGGGCTGTGCAGAACCCCAGGGTGCTGGTAGCAGTATAAACACAGGGCTTCCAGATACACACACTGACCAGACGAATGTGTGTACACATGGACACGCACACACGCACGCCTACACATCTGTTTACACGCCAGCTGCTCAGAAGGCCTAGAAAAATAGCAGTGGGTGCTCTGAATGCCCAGACCTTGGTGGTTTCTTTTTGTCTCTTTGGCTTTTCTCTTTAATCTTTTATGCCTGGCGTGAGGCTCAAACTCACAGCTCCCAGATCGAGTGTCACATGCTCTATGGACTGAGCCCAGCCAGGCGCCTGCCCCCCCAACACCCTGGTTTTTAGATGCTCTCGTCACTAAAGGGAACCAGAATAAATGGCTGACTCCAGGACTGGGGAAGGGAAAGTGTTTTTCCTTTCACTGCTTTTCTCCCTGCAATGTTGATGAACGCCCTTCTGTTGCTGAGCACTTTTCCATAACCTTCTGGCCACTTTGTCATTCTGACAGTCCAACCCACAGGCCGGTTCATGAATGTGAACCGTCTTCCAAGAATACAAGCCACAAAGCCACCAGCCCACTCCTCAGCCAGGCCTGGACGCAGTGCCTCACCTTGACGACTCCGAGTGTGAGAGCGCCCGCTGGAAGTGAGGAGACTCGAGGTGTTAGAAGTCTCTCTCCTCTTCGGGCTCATTCTTTGGGTGACAGTGTCCGGTCCAGAGGAGAGGCACCTCCCCTCGCTTGGGTGCCCACACGCCGTACTTCCACACCCTCACTCACCTCTTCCCTCACTTCTTTAGTTACTGCTCAGAAGGACCAAAAATTCATTAGTATCTGTTTATTGATCAATGGTTTGATATAAAGTTATTTCAGATCTTCAGAATTTTGCCCGAACAGAAGTCACAAGCATTACAAAGAGTTTTTTTTTTTCTTTCTTAAAAAAAAGGGTAGGAGGCCGGTTGGGAGGGGACCAACCTAGCAGTAGTGGCATTTGAGAATAAATTAACAAAAAAAAATTTAGTATTACCATTTATTGGTGACAAACACTAAGTTTTACTTACATTCCATGGGGAGAAAAAATTCCAGCGTAAACAATGGATCGAAGCGGTACTTAACTCGCAAGGCTACGGTGCTTTTCATCGGGACCATATGCAGGACCTTAAACTGCACACGCTTCTGTGCCCAGTAACACAACATCAAAAGCAACACGGTTTCAGAGATAAACACGGGTCATTCTTTTCAGCCCTACATGGAGATGTAATCAACAGTACAAAGCACTCAAGGAAATCCCCCTGCGGGTCTGTGTGTACTACGTGGAGACCATATCCTGTAGTGTAGTGAAAGCTACGTGTCTTCAAGAGCCAGGTGTATGTACACACAATTTTTTTTTAATAATCTTTAAAACAAAGATCCAAGTTCATTTGTTTAAGTCCTGTTGCATTAACAAAAGTAAAATAGAAAAAGAACCAAATGATCATTGAAGTTTAAAATTCCTAAACTGTCCAGTTTATACAACCGTGGGAGACTTCATCAAGGACTCTGAGAAGCCCAGGACCGTTTCAGCTAAACCGGAGGCCACACAGTTTGCGTCACCGAAATGGTCCTGGGTTAGTCCAGTAAAGTCAAGACGTATAACCACATACACATGGATATGATCTTTGCTGATTAGATTACTGAAGTCAGTCTCAGACAAGTTTCTAAACTGTGCTATGTAACTAGATACAATTGAGAAACTCTCAGATGAAAATGTATATAGTGTCATTTCAGTCAAAAGAAAATAATAAAACTAAGAATATGTAATCTCTTTCGGGAGAGAAAGCAGTGGTGAGGAGAGAGTGGGCGCCACGGAGGCGGGGGCCGGAGCACGCGAGAATGGTTAGCTGGCGCTGAGGAGGAAGCATGTGATTTTCTCTGGTGCTTTCGGCCCTGGGGCTGGTGTACGGCCCCGCTCCCCGGCGTGGGTGTCCAGGGTGTGTCCCAAGGGCTTGAGTGAGCCACTGAGAAAGGGTCGTGCTCTGTTCCCGGTTTCCTTCACACAGCCCCAACACAAGCACCGAGGGGTCCGGGGCCACAGCAGCTGCCTGTATGTGGGGACAGAACAGCACCCGCGAGCGCAGCCACGGCCGCCTCCTTGTGTTCCCATCTTCGTCACCACTGCCGCCTCTGGTTCTTTACCCAGCACGTCGCTCGGCCCACTGGAGGTATCAGGACTTCCAAATTCTCAAAGCAGTTTCAGTATTTTCAGTATACGCGTCGGGGTTTCACAACGGTTCGTGGCCAGAAAAGGTTCAGCACCTCCCACACCTTCAAGGAAGAAAAGAAAGGAGAGTGATGCCAGTTTTGAAATGTAAGAAAATTTAACCCATGTTGAAGACGAGAAGAAATCGGCAGACACTGAAGCCCAAAAGCACAGGACCGCTTATGACCACTGGGTTCCGGTTTTCTCAGGATGCACCATCAAGTGAAAAAGGTGAGGAGAAGGAGGGTGTAGTGTGTGATCTCCGGGAGAAAAGGAAGAATGCAAGGAAGACAGGACTGTATTTGCATAAAGAAACACACAGGAAAGATACGTAAGAAACTACTAACCATTGTGATCTGTGGGTGGGGGCAGGGAGAGTGACGTGGGTGAGGGCTGCGTGGGGGGCAAGACTGACCACCCGGCATCTCTGGAGATCACTGTGGGGTCTGAACCCTGTGTATGTATTACCTATTCTCATTTTTTTTAAGAAAGTCGAGCTCTGCTCACAACCTGGAAACCTTCCAGGGAAAGGGACAGAAAGTGATAGAGGGGATGTCTTACTATTGAGTTGAGCAGGCGGTTTGAATTTAATGCAAATGAGGAACAGAACTGCCTTTCCGAGTAAATCAGCTCACTCACACAGACATTGGTCCATTTCCTGTTCTTGGCATCTCTGTACTCGGTTGGTCCAACTCAGAGAGCAGCTTTAAGATGTTCAGTGCAGCCTGGCAGGGACAAAAAGAAGAGTCAGAGCATGACCGCCACCCGGGGCCACAGCAAGACGCTGTTTGAACAGGTAGGCGAGGGACAAAACAGGGAGTCCCACTAAACCTCACATTCCCTTAATATTTGGACTTTCGGTTTGAAATACAAATTACAAAATAAATTATCCATGTTTACCTCATTGAATCACAACCTCTGCTAATTTTCTTTTAATATTTTTAACTTTATGGTAACTAGACTACACATTTTGTATCTTGCTTTAGAACAGAAACCTGTCCTGTTCCCTTGTTAGAATACGTTAATTTGATGTTTGCATTATATTCCATCAGGCGGATATACCACAGTTTACCTAGATTAATCAGTTCTTTTTCTCAGTTTTGTACTTCTCGTTAACAGTAGTTGCACCTGAACGGAGACCAAAATAAGGGGCTTTCTACAGCTGCCCGAACCTGGGCGTGTGGTCTGTGTTCTGGGAGGAAAGGAATGGACACAAGCGCGTGGAGGGGGTCCAGGACCCAAGTCCACCCCCCAGGCCAGCACAGGGACGGGAAGGAGAGTCTAAGGCTGATGAATTCTGATAAACAGTGAACAATCAATAAACTGAGGAAGAAATCTTCAAAAATACGAAGTCTATAAAAGTACCCAAGTCTCCGGGAGAACCCTTCTCCTGTCTGCCCAAGGCCAGCAATAGGCAGGGGCCAGGAGCCCTGGGGAACGTACCATGTCATGGCAGGACTCCACATCCTTTCCAATACCATGGCTGATCAGAGGTGGCTGAGAGGAGCAATTGATAAGAGATACAAACTCGTTCTTGTTGTTTTTGGGGAAGTCTTTGTATTCAACCTGAGGGGAAAAGAAAACCGAGGCGAGTAGGGCAGCAGCGAATACGCAAGGAGCCCAGCAAATGGAGAAGACACATCTTTCTCCTGCTGTCAACCAGACACGACTCCTGCTCAGTGAGCAGACTGTCCGGGGCGGCTGCAGCTGGGGGTACCCAAAAACCCTGGTCGGGGAGAAAGGGGGGGTACCAAACACCTGGTCTGAAAGAAGCCATGTCCTTTTCTGCTAGGCTGAAAAGGGCCAGCACACTGAATCCATTCTTGCTAGAACTATCACTAAGATGACAAGCTTTGTTACTACGGTTAGCTTGGATTTTGTAAAAGCTTATTTATTAGCAAAGGACAAGGTGATTCTGTTACCATACAGGCTTGTCCCATACTTTCCCGAACTCCCTCCACCCGCCTCCGGACCATCAGGTACCACGTGCCCTCCACCCTTCCTCCACATAAAGACCTGGATTTAATAAACGAGGTGCAAGGCTCATTTTCTGAGAGAAACCCAAAAAAGTTGAGTGCACTGAGGTCTAGACCACACAGCTCCACCCTAACAGTTACCTGGAATCCCTGGACTCTGGAAAGATAGTCCAGCTGCTCAGAGGGTCTTGTAAGAGGTCCATGGGGTACGTGGCCTGAAGAGATGTTATTCTTTAAAATGGTCTCGGCTGTGGGCGAGGTGCCCCCATACAACAACTCACGGGCTATCATGGCAGTTACCGTGGCCTTGGCCGGATTCGGAGCTGCCCTGGTGAAATCTTTGGTGTGGTGTCCTTGACTGACTCCTACGGCCTGGGCAACCTCGGGCACCATGGGAAGAATCCCCGCGGGCAGCTGCTGATGACTAAGATAAGGCATCCTAAACTCATCCTCTTTATTGCCTAGGGAGGGACACGCAGACAGATCAACACGAGGCCACGTGCGCCGCTAGGAAAGACCTTTGCCACCCCGCCGGCCCGCCCTCGACGCACACGACAGCTCGGGGAGGCCGCAGAGCTCCACACTGCTCGTCGTTCCAGGGGCCACGCCAAGCCCAGACTCACATTCAGATCAAGACAGTATTAACATCACACTTACTAGTCCCATTTTCATCCCCAGAGCCAGGTTCAAAAAAGGTTACTTTTCTTCCATCCCCTGGTTTTTTTATTGGTGTCTTAAAAAAGAAAAAAAAAAAAAAAAAACGCCATGAGTGGAAATCAAACTGTCGCAAGATTAGTTCTTACTCTCTGAAACTATACCAGCTCCAACCAGCGTTCATCTGTGGTTTGTAACCTTTTGAAATATGAAGAGGTAATCAGCAGAGAAGCCCTACCCCCACGCCGAATGGCCCAGCAGCCTCCTGCGTTCCCCCCAAACCGCGCCTGCCCCCGAGCCACTCCCGCCCCCATGGCCTGTCCTCTACCAGAGGAGGCTAAGAATCCTCCTGAGCCGGGGGCTCAGCTCTGCTCAGCACTCACAGGACGACAGGAGGACATTTAACCAGAGGGAGCCAGAGATGCTAGATGCTTTCCCCAAGGCGGGGAAAAGCAGCTTTTAGATGAAAGCTAAACAAAGACTTTTCTGGAACTAATATCCAATTCAAAGAAAAGGTGACATTTCCAAAGATAACAAAGGGGGAATGCTATGAGAGAAAACTTTTGTCATAGCTCCTTTCTGAGAAGGGAAATCTTCTATCAGATTTTGGAATGAAAAACGCCAAAACCAAGTGTCCAGGCTCTGTGCCGATTCTCCGAGGAGTGTCCGCGGCCACGGCCGAGGCCACGGCCCGCTGCCGGCACGGCTGGCACAGGGAGGGGTCCCGTCCCGGGACCTCTCAGTGGAAACAAGCTTGGTCGAGAACCCGCTTGAGGGTACTGCTTTACCAATCTTGGCAGAAGATTTTGTATCTAGTGTTCAATTCATAAAGAAAAAAAGAATCCCGAATCCAAACTACGAATTTCCTTCCATAAATCCCAGTGTGTCGGTGTCCCAGAAAACCCAAAGCCTGCTTCCCAACTAGCAGAAGCCTGAGGCCGCGGGCCTTCCACGCGGGCCCCACCGCGAGCACGAGGGTAGCCGCAGACAGGGTCATCTGCTGCCCCGTCGCCCATCCTCCTCCAAGTGGAAAGGGGCGAGCTGCCCTCCAGCCAAGTGTCCCCGACCACAGAGATACAGAAACAAGAACGACTTAACCCAGAGCCACGCTCGGAGCCATGGACATGCAACTCCCCTTCTGACCACATTATAATGCTCCAAACGGATAGGACGCCGCTCAGCAGGGCTGTTTTCCTGCCAGGAGGATGAAGCCTTGCCCTGAAGCCTGGCCCTGGAGGTTGCCAGAGTCCCCTAGGATGAGGCGAGGAGGTCATCTTGCCATTAGAGAGCAAGGACACAGAGCCCCGAGCAGTCACCTTCTCCTCTGATTTGAGGGCTGGTTTGGTGGGCTGAGCCTGTGGGACTTTGAAACCAAGGATCTCCAACATGTTCTCAGCTGCGTTGCGTTTGGCCACCTTCTTGTTGGTGCCTGTTCCTTCTGCGGTATGGTTTCCCACCTTCACCTGCATGAGGATGAAGTCAGGACTCAGAGCAGTGCTTACACCTTCAGAGTAAGACTGGCGAGGCAGTGGCGTGTGGGCAAAAGAACCCAACAGCGACCACAAGCCTCCCAGGGGCGCCCGTGGCGGCCGCCGGTCAATGTGAGATCACAGAAGCTTACGGGCCCTTTAACGTAAGGAGTTCTAAAAACGCACTTCCTGACGTGACTCCCTCTGACACTCATCTGTGCTGCTGAGGGTCTGCGACCCGGGGCACGTGTGTGGAGCCCAGCCCGGGACCGCCTGCACGGCCGCGGGCAGAGCGTTCCCCCCACGGAACCCTGCAGGCACTACGCAGCACCCCGCCTCCGGTGGTTCTGTCGTCTCCTCTAGACTTATGAGATGGAGGAAAGGTTAATGACGGAGGCAGGCACGCAAACTACGCTTACAAGCCTGTCGAGTCTGCAGCCAGGGCCCTATAACTGCACAAAAAACGGGAACATCCACCCAGTCGTTGAAAATGATCTGGTTCAACAAAGTCACTCACTGTTCACAAATGAAGTTCCAACGTGTCTTTACTTTCATCTTCTGTATGTGAACAAAAACGTCAACCGATTCTCATGCTAGAACTATGCTCCTCTATCAACAGCACGGGCGGCCTGCTTTTCTAACACCATCTAACACTGTCACGGCCCTTACGTGACAGAGAACACGGAAAGTAGAGAGTATTACGTGTTTTCTGTATTATTTGTCAACTGCGCCCTGGCCCAGTGGGCCCCGCTCCCCGCCGTCGGACGTTCGCACTACTAAGACCATGTTGCTTGTAATTTGATGCCTTAAATCGTGTCCTCGCGTGCGCATCGCACGTGCTGCTGAGTCAGCGGACAGGAGCTCATCCTCTCTGGGACATCTGTACTACACAGACATGTAGTTTATACATGCGTAACACATCTATAAACACCCCCCTTCCCACCAGCCCGCCCCCCAGGAGAGCTGAGTGTTCACAGGTTCCAGCAAGTAACCACGGCTTACAACCCCTTCCGAGCTGGTCCTGATCACAGACCAGACCAAAAAGCCCCATGTCCCAGAACTGAGAGTCAAGGAAACCTTCCCTGGCCTGTGAAGAGGGCTCTGGGGTTGAATCCTGGCCTTGCCATCTACCAGCTTTGATTTTGGCCAAATTACTGATCCTCTTGGTATGCTGCCATCTTCCTTGCCGCCTGGAAGGACCGTGACTTTACTCGCCTTCTGACTGGGGAGGGAGAGCACGCCGAGAACACTTCCCAAGTCATGAGCGAACTGCTACACGAGAGCAAAGTACTGGGTTTTTCACCAGAAAACACCATTAAATTCAAATCACAAAGTAGACCGCCCATATGAGTAACCGTTTCACAAATACAAGAAAACACTCTGCACTAATCCAAAGTGCAATCCCAATCTAAGGAGGACCAACCCTAGACTCCAGATTCTACAGATTGGGAGGAACAGGAACAGATCCTTTGATAGAACTTGGAAAATTTACCTTCTGAAAAGAACAATACAAGCCTTCAAGGAGATGTACTGAAGAGAAATGGTCACCCGCAATCCCCCTGCCCTAGCACCCATGACCTGGAGCAGGTGTCCGAGCTCCTACCTGCTGACTCAGCAGCACGTGCGGTGTGCATGCAAGGACACGTTTTAAGGCATTTACTACAAGCAATGTGGTCTTACTATTGCTAACGTCTGATGGCGGGGAGCGGGGCCCACTGGGCCAGGGCACTGGACCTGGCCCCCTCAGGAAAGCACCCAGCCCCTGGACCCCTCCAGCCGCGTGGGGCGTTGGTCACAGAAGGGCTGCCACAACCCACGCCGACCCACCTGCATCACAAACTCTCTGCGGCGCGGGAGGCCTCGCTCTGTGAGGAGCATGTACTCTGGCTCCTTCTCCTTTTTCGCCTGCTGGATCTGGGCCAGTCTGCTGATCGGGTTCATCCCCTGGCCGCAGTCTGTGCTGCTCTGTAGCTGACGACAACGGATGTAGACACCATGTGCCATGTTAGCCACAGAGAGGACCTCGCCAATTCAGGGGTCAGGACACAACGCAACATTCCTTTATGTTTGATCTAAGTGCCCAGAATTAATCAGATCTTTTTTAAACCTTCTTAAAATTAAAAGATGCTTAGGGATTTTCTAGGATTGCTCTGAGGTGACTTTTTAAAAGGCTCCTGGCAAACCAACATCAGTATCCCACTATGGGTAGGCAAGCAACCCTGAAAAGTCTGCTTTTTAACAATAAATTTCAACTTGACAATGAAGAGAGAAAAAAATACAGAACACTACTCCTAAAATTCCCCCCAAAAGTCTGTTATAAGATGGGTCCCCAGCTTTCTTAACAAGGACTCAAAATCCAGAAACTATTTAAAAAACACACACACACGAAACACAAAACCTCAGGCTGACACCACGTGGAAAGAACCTAAGAATCCCAGTTTCCTCCCAATGGCCATCTTTAGCGCCACGGAACCCTCAGCCACTGCTCGTGTGGGGTGGTTTCTGGGATCTCCTGAGAGAAAAGGGGAGCTGCAACAGTCTATAGCGTGTGCTCACCCCTGGGCACGGGGTCTTGGCAAAGCGTGAAACTATAGCTGGCTCTTGAACAACAAGGGTTTGAACTGTGCAGGTCCACCTAGAAGTGGATTTTTTTTTTTATAACTATAATAGAGTACAGTAAGTGTATTTTCTCTTCCTTAAGATTTCCTTAATAACGTTTGCTTTCCTCCAGATTACTTTACTGTGCGAATATAGCATTTAATACATACACACGTATACAACATATGACATATAAAACATATTAACTGACTGTTTATCTTATTGGTAAAGCTTCTGGTCAACAGTAGGCCATTAGTGGTTAAGTGTCTGGGGAGTCAGAAGTTAAACCCAGGCTTTCCACTGTGGGGTGGGGGCCCGTGCTGTTCAAAGGTCAAAACTGTATACTGACAATCAGAACAGACCCTAGTATTCCTAAACATGCCCTAAACAGAAGGGCTGGACTCTTGTCCGTTCTCTGGGTGGGGAAGCAAGGGGCTAGTATAATTTTTGACAGGTCCATTGACATGGCTTAAAAAACCCCAAAGAATAGGAGGTGTTTGGTGAAACGCCTCACTGCCCCCAGACGCCTTTGCTCCCACAAATCTGCTTCACGCTCGCACCAGTTCAGCGGTGAGCGAGGTGGAGGAAGGACACTTTGTCGCCATTCGCTCTGCAGAAGGGCACTGCAGACGCACACGGTTCCTGTGATCACCCCTCACCCGCGACGTGTGCGCACAGCTGCCAGCGCCTCGGCATCCACGTCTTTGCCGAGGGGGCTCCTGGGAGGAACCACCCAAGGTGGCCCGTCAGTGCCTATCCTGTCACTAGGGTCAGCAACCTAGTGAACTTTTTAGTAAGTGAACCTTTAATAGTGAATCCTCCCCCGTCATCTACAGGCAATGGAAATACCCTCTTCGATCGAGAAGGTTCTTACCCTGACTATGGATTTTGTTTTCTTTTTGATTCTGGGCTTCACTCGCTCGACCGTAGGCAGGGGTGGTAGCTTCTTTAGCTCCTCGAGGACAGCGATAGCAGCGTTTTTCTTTGAAATCTTCTTGCTCTTCCCTTCACCTTCCCCAACAAACTCCCCAACTGACACCTTGGTCACAAAGCTCTTCATATGGGGGGGGCCGCTCTCCCGGGCAACCTGTTTCAGAGGGAAAGACTGAGTGAAAGCGTGACAGACACTTCCTGCCAGTGGTAGGACACACTGCTCAGCACACGACCTCCCAGGAACCACAGGGAAGGGCGAGTTACGGACAAGACCTGATCAATGCAGGCAGCGTAAATGTCAGCAAAAGAAAACAGTGAAAATCCTGAATACTTTTCTTCCCTTCCTTATTTCTCAGACTTGCTAATGTTCTTGGGTCTGGTTGGTCCCCCATACAGTTAGTACGGAGTAAAGAGGAAAACAAGTTCTGCTCCCACCCTCCGAGCAGAACGGCTCCCGTCTTCCCAGGGTCAGAGACTGTCCTGAGTTCAGGGGATCCACTGCAAATGGCAGAAAGGAAGCTGTCCCAGCGAAGTCCAGAAATAATTGCAACACAAAGAGTTCAAGTTTAATATTTGCTCTGAGCCTCCAGCCAAGTCTGAGCTTATTAAATCCTGATTGCTATGCAGCTTTAAAAAAGAATGAGAAATTTCAAAGCACTGACCGTGATTTCCAATACACACTAAGTAAAAAAAACCAAACTGCCAAGAGTTTATACAGTACCCTAACTTTTGTGTAAAAAAAAAAAAATTTATATATACCCACACATATACACAAATATATAAACAGACACACACGTGTGTGTTTATATGCTTATTTTTGCAAAAAGAAACACAGGATGGATAAAGCAGAAACAGAGAATTAGTTCCCTACAGCATGTGGGAGGGACTGTGTAGAGAAGGGACAGGATGATGCTTCTGAGTGTATCTTTTTGTATAGTTTTGACTTTTAGAAGCATTTAGTGTTTTACATATTAAAAATATAAAAATAAGTCAACAAAGATGGGAGAAAAACACTAAAATTGAGTGTGGACAGAAACTTAAGTAGGGTTCTTATTGGATCACATAGAAGGAAAATAAAAATTGAACGAGCTAACTTAGGTTAGCTAAGACACTCTTGAAAAGAACTAAGGACTCACACTAGCAGATTTCAAGACTTCGATAAAGTTATAGCAACGATGCCCTCACAGCATTGTTTAAAGGCAAACAATGAGATCAATAAATCAGAACAGAATGCAGAAACAGACCTGCACACATTTGGTCTTGTGATTTCTGGCAAACACACCAAAGTACATCAAAAAAAAAAAAAAAATTTTTTTTTTTTTTTTTGCACCGTATCATTATTTTTAATGTCCAGCATTTACAATACGAGGGCCAGAGCTTTCTCCCCAACTCAAGTTTATAAATTCTCAATTGGCTTGTGAGGCCAGTAGGGATACTTCTTCTTGTCTAATTTGGTTTCTGGGAAGACTTCATTCAGGTCCTCCCTCAATGGTCATCTGATCAAATGGAATTACGTTCCTCATCTTCTCCAGCTCTTTTTCATATTCCTCAATCCTGGCCTTTGAGAGAGACAAAAACTCGGCACAACTTTTCACATCATCTTTTTCTTCAGCATCCACCTGAACAGTATATTTATCCTCTGGCACGGGAACCTTCAGGGCATTAAACTTCTTCTCAAAGTCATCTACCAAACCAGCCTTCGCCACATTGGCCTTGTAGTAAGCCCAGTCGATAGCAGGTGGTTTCTCAGGGAGACTAGCCAACCTGGAGGTAAGTGTCTCATTCCAGGATTTCGGGGAGTTAGCAATGGCCTTCTGGTTTTGGGGTATGATCTCCCCCAAAGCTACCCAGTCAATGGTTTTTAGAGCAAGTTTTCATGCAGCCATCTTGAGATCATTCACCGACCCCAGCGGCCCAGAGTCCACAGCAGCAAGGACAAAATACTTTTTTTTTTTTTTTTTTAATCAAAAGTCTTAAAGGGGGGGAAAAAAAAAGCACTACATATCCACGTGGAAGAAAAGCTGAACCACACAGTCTCAAACTCCACCACAAACAACAGGTACCTGGAGCCAGAACACAGACCTAAATGTGAAAGCTAAAACTGTAACACTCTCAGAAGAAAACATAGGAGTGGGGCGCCTGGGTGACTACAGTTGGTTGGGCCACTGCCTTCAGCTCAGGTCATGATCCTGGAGTCCTGGGATTGAGTCCCACATCGGGCTCCCTGCTCAGCGGGGAGCCTGCTTCTCCCTCAGACCCTCTTCCCCTCTTCTGCTCTCTCTCTCAAATAAATAAAATCTTAAAAAAAAAAGTTCTGAAGAGACACTAATTTGGAATCATTTAAAAAAAAGAAGAAGAAGAAGAAAACACATGTTCAAGGCACCGTTTTCCTTTCAGTGCCTCTGTCCTTCACTGTTGACCCCCCAGGAACCCCATTCCTGTGTCACCTGAGGTGTCCGTGTTGGCTGTGTTTGCATTTCTACGTTGGTAGTTTGTGGCTTGTTTATGTGTGGGGAGTTTTTTAAAACAAATTTTTATAAAAAGAATAGAATTTAATGGTAATAATAACTTAAAACAAAAATGGAAGCTACTGGTTATTCTCTTAACTTTTCACAAGATTAAATACAGATTTTCCTTTTAAAAAAAAAGAAGAAAACATAGGAGAAAAGGCCTGGAGCATGCAGTTGGCAAACAGCTCTTAAAAACACGAAGTACCAGCCATAAAGAAAACAAATTCGGAGCTCCTCGAAATTAAAATAACTGTTCTCATCAAAAGACAACAATTAGAAAATACAGGGAGTCCACAAAACGGGGGAGAACATTTGCAATATATGTATCTGAGGGTTTATATCCAGAATACTGAAAGAACCTCTGTAAGTCAACTACCCAATTAATGAAAGACTTGAACAGGTACTTTACGAAACAAGATCTCTAAATGGCCAATAAGCATATGAAAAATGGTTATCATTTGTCATCAAGGAAATGCAAATCGAAACCACAATGGAATACTGAAATATACACAACACCCCAAAATGGCTAAAATTAAAACAACTGACAGCATCAAGTGTTGACAAGGATGTGGAACAACTGGTCAGAGTATAAACTAGTACAATCACCTTGGGAAGGAGCTTGGCAACTTGTTTTACAGATTTTATTTATTTGAGAGAGAGCACGAGCACGCACGAGCAGTGGGGAGGGGCAGAGAGAGGAGCAGACTCCCCGCTGAGCAGGGAGCCTGAAGCGGGACAGTGCAGGACTCGATCCCAGGACCCCGGGATCATGGCCCAAGCCGAAGGCAGATGCTAACCAACTGAGCCACCCAGGCGCCCCCAACTTGACAATTTTTATTAAACACTTACCCTTGACTTGGCAATTCTGGGTGCATGTGTACACAAGAAGCCTTAGCAGCTTTATTCATAAAAGTTCCCAACGTGGAAACCACTCACAATGTCCATCAAGAGGACAATGGATAAAGCACAGCTTTACATTCATACAGGGAAATACTGCACGGCAATTAGCTCCTGCCATACATGGATGAGACTCAAAAACACTCTGTTGAGGATTAGAGACTTGACACCGAACAATCCATACTGTATCATTCTATTTATATGAGGTCTAAGAACAAAGAAAATGAAGCCATAGTATAGGTTTCAGAAAACAGCTTCTGGGTGGGTGTTAACTTGAAAGGGGCCCAGGGACTGCTGGAGGTTATGGGAATGCTCTAGATCTGGATCTGGGTGGTGAACCACAGGCTCGAAACGGGCTGTGCCCTGAAGACATGCCCATTTTCTACACAGGAAGCACACCTCGACAGATGGTCAGCAGGAGGTCTAAGTATGGAATTAGGAATGGAGGGAAAGAGCCTTGTGATGCTAGATGAAAATGAGAGGTATAAACTGGTAATTCTGAAAATAGAGGTATTTTCTAGCGATGCCTGCCTACAAGGCCTAGAAGCAGTGACCCTCCCTCCAGCAGCAACAAGCATGCCTGGTGCCCCATCCTCATCTCCACGTGCCGCTCTCCGTGAGGGGGAATGGGGCTCCTGCAGGACCAGCTAAGGCCATGTCTGTTAGAATTTCCATTTCTACTGGTGCCAAAACTTGAGCAGGGAAAGTTCAAAGTAAGGGTAAGGCTAAAACATTTAAGTTCACTCAAAATCTGAACAGGGGAGGTGAGAAGCAAGTGAGCAGGGATAATGAGGCACACAAGCAGAAGAGGAAAAAAACCCACCTCACAGCATATATAAAAACTGTAACTCAAAATGAATCATAAAGCTTCAAGAAGAGAAGAGAAGAAGAATAACCTTACATGAGACAAAGGTGTCTTAGGTTACATACAACAACCATGAAACATAAAAGAAAAATTAGGCAAATTCTACCTCACTAAAATCTCTCTGTTCTTTCAAAGATACCATTTAAAAAATGAAAAGACAAGCCACATGCTGGGAGAAAATATTTAGAAAATACGTATCTGATAAAAGGATTGTATTCAGAATATATAAATAACCCTCAAAACTCAGTAATAAAACAACTCTGTAACAAAACCGACAGACGTGAACAGATGCTCCCCGAAAGAAGATGCCCAGATGGCAAAGCAGCACAGCAGAGATGCTGGGCTTGGGGTGGGGGGGCTGCCATGCCTGGGTGGCTCAGCTGGTTAAGCCTCCAACTGGTGATTTCAGCTCAGGTCATGATCTCAGGGTCTGCTTCTCCCTCTGCACCCCGCCCCCCACCTGTGCTTTCTCTCTTTCACACTCGCTCTCAAATAAATAAAATCTTTTTTTTTTTTTAAGATTTTATTTATTCATTTGACAGAGAGAGACAGTGAGAGAGGGAACACAAGCAGGGGGAGTGGAAGAGGGAGAAGCAGGCTTCCTGCTGAGCAGGGAGCTCGATGCCGGGCTTGATCCCAGGACCCTGGTATTATGACCTGAGCCGAAGGCAGACGCTTATTAGCGACTAAGCCACCCAGGCGCCCCTAAATAAATAAAATCAAAAAAAAAAAAAAAAAAAAAAAAAAAGGCAGGAACTACTGCTCTGTGCAACATGGACAACTCAACACCTGCATTACATTAAGTTAAAGAAGCCAGACTAAAGGCAATAAACTCTGTAATTCCATTTATATAATGTTCTGAAAAGAGAAAAACTGTAAGGGCGGAAATTGGATCAGTGGTTGCCTGAGGCTGAGGACGGAGGAAAAGAACTGGCTGCAAAGGGCCTCAGGGCAACTTTACGGGGTGAAAGAGGTTTTAGGTCTTGACTGCAGGGGTGGTTCCACCACTGTATACATTCATCAAAACACATCAATAAATCTAAATAGAATGGATTTTACTGTATGTAAATTACCTCAAAAAAAAAAACTACCCTCCCTTCCAAAAACATCCCCACAGGGGAATATCAAAGGACACAGCAACCAGCTGAATGGCAATTTGAATATCAAAATGAATGACAATAATGTTGAACCATGTTGTTTTTTTTTTCTTTTTCCTTTTTTTAAATGTAAGCTCTACACCTAATATGGGGCTTGAACTCATGACTCCAAGATCAAGAGTCGCACTCCTCCACCTCCGCCAACTAAGCCAGCCAGGCGCCCCCAATGAATGACAATAATGAAATAACACTTTGAATAAAAAAAGCAGCTGTGGACCTATGCTAATAAAAATTAACGTACAGAGGTGGGGTATTTCCTGTGGAATGTTAGCTCAGAAAGGCAGAAAATCCACCATAGCAGTGACTGTTACTGGGAAGAATTATCAATGACTATGACAATCAATGGGGAAATCTCTGAGGGCATAGCCTTCAAACATCTCCTCGCAGGATACGGATTAATTGCAAAGAGAAAGAAAGTCTCCTTAAGGTGAAGCTCTGGTGTAAGCCAATGAAAGGAACGTCACTGACACGGGGGAAATGCCCTCATGTGATGCTCGGAAGAACCCACACCACATCTGTGGTGCCCTGAGGGAAAAAATGCATTATCTGAAACTAATCATGAGGGAACAATCAGACCAAACTGAGGGCCATTCTACAAAGTACCTTTTAAAAATGTCAAAAGAGGCTGCGAACTGTTACAGACAAAAGGAGAGCCCAGGGATGCCTCTACCAGATGCAGGGTGTGATCCTGCGCTGCCACGGGAACAAGAAAATACGTGCCATCAAGGACGGAAGGGACAGACGGCAAAATGTGAATATAGGACATACGTTACATAAGAATTAGTGACGCTCAATTTCCTGTATTTGATCATTAGATTGTGCTTATTTAAGATAATGTCTTGTCCTTAAAAGCTACATGTTGAAATTTAGGAATCCTGATACCTGCCACTTACTCAAATGACCCAGCAAGGGTAAGAAGAGATAGAAAATAGTATGTGCATTCACAGAGAGAAAAAGCAAATGTAAAATGTTAATCACTAGTAAATCTCAGTGAAGGAGAAATTCACTGTCCTATTCTTCCAACTCTTCCACAGGTTTGAAATTTTTCAAAATAAAATATTCAAACAATGGCTAGGATAACCAAAGGGGCCCCAAAACAGCAGTGCTGTGCTCCCCAGGTGAGAACCAGCGGCCCCCCCGGAGAGCGGCCTTCACTGCCCCCCAAAGGAAGAGGTTGGCAGGGAGGGCCCCTCACACACCACCTCCCACCCTGACAGCCTGGTTTCCGAACACTCAGCCCCACCCGGACTCTTGGCCTCTCAGAGTTGACTCAATCATCTACTCACATCACCAGCCAACCAATCTAAATGTGGAGTTCCACCTACAATGGATTTAGTGCAAGGTCATGTAGAGGTCACAACTGCCTCCCGGTGACTTTATCAATCAGCACCATTTTTTTACTAAAACTATGTATTTTATCAAAAGTCAAGCTATATACATTTTTTCTGGAGAACCGTAGGAAAGGCTCCTGCCTTCTTCTATTAAACACTTCTAACCCAGATTTCTATGTGACAGATTTTACTATAAAAAACTCAGTAAAAAAAAAAACAAAACTGTTCCATTTATTTACTCAACAAACATTTCCTGAGCATCCAGTATGTGCCAGGTAATCTTCCAGGTGCAAGAGACAGAACTGTGGGGGAAAAAAATGAAAGCCCTTGCTCAAGCTAATAATGGAAGTAATATGACCCTCTGATCGATGAGCTATTTAACATAAGCACTCACATTAACAAATTCACCACCATCACCAACGAACAAACTGGAATGTCTTAAATGATTACCCTAAAGATATTCACCCACCAGAGGGCGCTCCCAAAACTTCCTTCAGGTGATCAGACCATTTCCTGCTGTGTTACATAGTCCTGAACACAAGCTTGAGACCCAAATCCGAAATCTAAACAAAGCGGAAGTGGAACAGAAGCAATCTGGTCTCCAAATCCCACAGAGCAAAAAAAAATGGCATTCCTTCACTAAGGTTCCAGAAAGCTGACTCTCAGGCAGGGCAACAAACTAGTAGGAACAGGTGGCAAGCTTCACAGGGATCCAAGGCCCTGGTGCCAGCAGTCACCTCTGTAATCCTGAGGTGACCCGGGAAGCCAGGCACCTCCCACTCCCACAATCTTGGCACCCCTCTAATCTCTAAAAATCTCATGCCCTACCAATCCCTCAGCACGAGGAGAAAAGGAGGACTTCTTCCCTTCCTGCAACAGGTATCTAGGAAGACCTCTTGGTTTTCGGAGTGAAGCTCCCACCTAGTTCCCACCCATCAACTAGCTCTGTCATTCTGCGTATCTCCTGTCTCATTGCCTCCCTCCCCAATGCCAACAGAGGGAGAAGGGCCAGAAGGGACAGAGAGCCAGGTAAGACACAGTCCTCGTCTGTCCAGGGCTCTGCCCTCTGAGAGGAAGGGACAGTGTAAACCTGGTCCTGCTGGCCAGGGTGGGACAGGGATGGGTGTGGGGTGATGCAGGGTGGCCCCATGATGCAAGTGTGACCTCCCATCCCACCTGTGCCCCATGGCAGGCAGGGAAGCACTGTGAGCTAAAGGCCAGAAGTCAGCAGCATGCAGCAGGCGGGTTAAGGACTGAACTCAGGAGCCAGTTTAGGGCGCTAGCACATTAATAAGAGAAGGTATATATTTTATAAAGGTCAGGCATGAAGTTTGGGGGTCACTTGTAACTGCAAAAATGCTACAAATTACAGTATTTTACAGCATAATAAACTTCAGGGGGATTTTTTAACCAACTGAGCCACCCAGGTGCCCCACAGGGGGACTTTTTAAAAAAAGAAACAGGCCAAAAGAAATTTATGGACCACTTAAAATTGTTTTAAGCAAATGCCCCACCTCAAATTACATTTGCCTAAGTAACGAAGTAGAAGCGTACAGCATTTTGGAAGACTAAATATATAGTCTTTAGAACTCTGAAAGACCTGGGGCGCCTGGGGGGCACAGTCGGTTAGGCGTCCAACTTTTTTCTTTTTTCAAGATTTTTTATTTATTTCTTTGAGACAGAGTTGAGAGAGAAAAAGAGCGCGAGTGGGAGGTGGAGAAGCAGACTGCCCGCTGAGCATGGAGACCAATGTGGGGCTCGATCCCAGGATCCCAGGATCATGACCTGAGCCAAAGGCAGATGCTTAACTGACTGAGCCACCCAGGCGCCCCTAGGCATCCAACTCTTGATTTCAGCTAAGGTCATGACCTCGGGGTCATGCGATCGGACTCCACAAGATTCTCTCCCTGTCTCCTTCTCCCTCTGTCCCTCCCCACCCTCCCCGTGCTCTCTCTCAAAAAAACAAAGAAAGACCTCTGAAAGACCAAAGAATTGATAAAGAAACGTGCATTGTATAGTAAAACACAATCTTGCATAACCAAGTGCGGAAACCAAAAGGATTTGCAAAGAATTTGTCGTGTGTCAGACCATTACAGAAAACTTACTAACCTCCACCACCTGCCTCATCTGTTTGGACTCACTGGGTCCTTGAAGGAAACATGTCCTAAATGTACCTTACTTTCCATATTGAACTAACAGCCCATTAGTTATGGTTTTTAAGACCATAAAGTCTCCAACAACAAATGAAGTTATCAGAGAGGTGATCTACAGGGCAAATGCTGGACAAGGACAAAACTGATGTCCTTTTAACTCCGATGTATGATTCCTAGGGACTGTTAAGGAGATTAATGTTTTGGGAGTAACAGAGTCTTTTGAGAGTCTTATGAAAACAATGGAACCTCTCTCTAGAAAACACAATCTTCAAAATCATTCTGGGAGGCTCGCAGACCATCCATGGACTGTCTGGAGGGGCATGGCAGCCCCTAAATTAGCAACCCCGAAGAAGAGAATCAATATTGCTTTGCTAAGGGGCGCCTGCGTGGCTCAGTCGGTTAAGCGCCTGCCTTCAGCTCAGGTCATGATCCCAGGGTCCTGGGATCGAGCTCCGCATCGGTCTCCCTGCTCAGCAGAGAGCCTGCTTCTCCCTCTCCCTCTCCCTGCCTCTCTGCCCACTTGTGCTCTCTATCTCTCTGTCAAATAAATAAATAAAATCTTAAAAATATATATATATATTGCTTTGTTAAGTATAAAGTCTGAGTATTAAACCTGAAGGTTCACAGGTTTGTGATGATAATTCCAATGTTATTTAGGGAAAAAATCATCCCAATGGTGAATGCCAACAGTATTTTACAGTGCAGTCCTACTTGTAAAGCAAGCTTACCTCAAAATTCACAGGCAAGTTCCGTTTAAGTGCAATCTCAAACACTTGACTGATTTCCGATTTATTGAGATTTTCTTCTTCTGATTCTCTTCCATTCACCTAAAGAAAGAATAATTGTTTAGTAGTTAACTCTTATTAAAAACTGTCAACATCCCAGCTGTGATAAACCTTAAGCACTGAACCTTGGCTTCATGGAGTGAGCACTACCCCAGGGAGCAAGGCCACCTGTGTGCCATGTGGCAGTGAATTTAAAGGTTAAAAAAAAAAAAAAGTATTATTTCACACTTGGGTCAGCTTGTACCTTATAAATCCACCACAAACAACCCCACACCTAACAGACTCAGGGGTATGAATCAGCCTCAACATGGCGCAACCACACGCCCACAGCTGCTCAGGAAGAGTGACAGACTCCCAAAGCCTTCCCTGAGGACCGGCGAGCCACATTCTGGAAAAAGTCAGAATACAGACAGCTCTGTGTGGGACATGGCAAGTTCAAATAGAAGTCTCTCCATCTAAGTATGCAGGTTTCTCATTTGGACAAAAGTCCCTGGAAACCCACTTTTTAAAAAATGGATGCAATGGAACAAATTATGAAATTGTGTACAAAATCTTTTCCTCACTGCTGCTGGCCAAAATTCAAGTGCAAACTAATCAAGTCCACTCAACAAAGGCTGAGACTCCATCTTTATAACAAGGTTCATTTACAGTCCTCCAGCCAGGGCTGGGATTAGGGAGGGCAGAGATCTCAGTGCGAGCTGATAACCGACTCTATCCACGCAGTGATAATGAGAATCCAGATAAGCTCAGTAATAGCAATGCCCCCCTCCTCCCTGCAAATTGTGGCAAGAGAGCTGCATTTTTCTTCTTATTTCTTATTATTGTGACTCTTTTATCAAAGAATTTGTAAAAATCCTATTTCTAAGACTAGAACTTTCTGACAAGAACCCATGGCTAAAACTATCCAGGATTTTATCAGTTGTGCATTTCTATACGTTCATCAGATAGATCTTACACCTCCGTGTATCAGTATTTCACATTATAATGGAAAAAAAATAAAACTCTTAAGTTAAAAATATTAATACCATCAAGAATATAATCCTATACCAGTAAATTCATCCCAGACACTCTCTACTTCTCTCTCCTGTCATGATGGCGGCCTTCTCCTTCTAGTCGGGTTTCACTTCACTCTCTGCCTGGTCAGAACTATTTGCATAGCATTTCTGGTGGCTTTATTAACTTAAAGATACTTTTATTCTTGTTTAAATCCTAAACGGAAAGAGGGCCTGACTTTTTATGAGTGAATCTTTAAAGCCAGAAATCTTCAAGCAAGACGCCTTAGAGCTCCGTGGAGGTTTGGTTTGAAATTTATTTTTTAAACAAGTTTTAAACTTAAACAAACAACCACCCTGCATTTTAGTATGTTCAACAAATGGTGCTTAGAAAAACAGATTTCCACATGCAAACAAAAACACAACAAAAAACCACCTATACCATATACAAAAATTACCTCAAAATGGATCAAAGACCTAAACATAAGGGCTAAAATCATAAAACTCTTAGAATATCAGGAAAAAGCTTCATGATGCTGGATGTGCCGGAGACGGAAAACAGAGGCAACAAAAGAAAAAGCCGATAAACTGGACTGCATCAAAATTAAACACTTTTGTGCATCAAAAGACGCTCTCAAGAAAGTAAAGACGACCCACAGATAGGAGAAAGCACATGCAGATCATAGATCTGATGAAGAATTAATATCCAGAATGTATAAACAACTCAACAACAAACAACCCAATTTAAAAATGGGAAAGGGACTTGAATAGACATTTTCTTAAGAAGGTAGAAATGAGTACATGAAGAAGGCTAACGAGTACATGAGCTCAGTATCACTCATCATTAGGGAAATGCAAGTCAAAATCACAATGAGACACCACTTTGCACCCCTTAAGAATGGCCAATGAAAACAGCAAGTGTTAGCAAGCACATGGAGCAGTGGGAATCACAGAGCATTCCTGGTGGGAATATAAAATGGCCCAACCTCTGTGCAAAACAGTGTGGTGGTTCCTCAAAAAGTTAAACATAGATTTACAGGATGATCCAGCAATTACACTAGCAGATATGTACTCGAAAGAACTTAAAAGAACTCAAACAGATACCTAGACACCTATGTTTACAGCAGCATTATTCACAGTAGCCAAGAAGTGAAAACAACCCAAACATCCAACAACAGATGAATGAATACACAAAATGTGGAACGGTCACACAATGGAGTATTACTCAGCCTTAAAAAGAAAGGAAATGCTGACACATGCTACAACATGGATGGACTTTGAAAACATGATAAATGAAATAAGCCTGACAAAAGATGAATATCCACTTATATTAGGTATCTAGAATGGGCAAATACATAGAGACAGAAGTAAGATGTTCCCTGGGGTGGGCGGGGCGGGGGGGAATGGAGGGGAAGTTATTGTTTAATGTGCAGAGTTTCAATGTGAGATAAAAAAGTTCCAGAAATGGGTAGTAGTGACAGTTGCGCAACACTGAGAATATATTCAATGCTGCAGAACTGTGCACTTCAAAAATGGTTATAATGGTAACCTTTATGTTATGTTTATTTTATCTTTAAAAAGCAACTTAAAAAAGTATGTTTCGTACCAAATATTAACACACTAGAGATTGTCAACACATTAACTTATGCTAAGAGGTTAACTCATTTTTGTGCACAATTAAGGTTTATGACAGCTGTTTATTTGATGGATATCCACAGGTTTTTTTTTAAGCAGATGAGTTAAAACAAAGGCTCCACTCGGATGCTAAGTAACTGTTAATGCAACCAGAACAAAATTTAGAAATAAACTGGGTGCTGAGGCTAAAATAAGACTTCAGCCACCACGCATGTACTCCAATTTTCAAACCTGTTGTTCACTTTACCAGCCCAATTAGTTTTAACTTTTAATTATGACCTATTTCAAACATTCAGAAAAGCACAGATTAATAATGTAACAGGCAATTGTGCTAGATTTAACAAATGTCCCAACATTAAGAACTACTGACATTAAATTTTAATTTTTTTAAGGAAAACAACGAAGCTCTCCTCACTCTCCTTTCCCGGCAGCCTTAATCATGATTTTAAAATGGGAATGTATCTTTCTCACAGCCATGTTTTTTTAGTGGACGAAAACAATATATGATATATTCTGTGTTTTGAAAATTCACATAAATAATTTTCACTGATTTACCTTCAAAAATACTCTAAAATTCAAACTTACAAGTTTATACTAATCTAATGCTACTTTCCTATTTTATATATTGAGCTTCCACATAAGTCTGATGGAAAACAACAATCTACTGCAAAAAGCTAAACTGTAAGCCAGTGTTTCTTAACCACAGCAGCATCAGGATCACTTGGGAGCTCTGCAAGGACAGATGCTATCTAGATTCCTACTCCAGATGAGGGAACTTAAATTTTTTTCAGGTAGGGCTTAAAGATCCATTTTATTTATAGTACTTTTTTTTATTTTTAAAGACTCCAGCTGATTTTACAAGCAGAGTGGAGAGTCATTGCTCTAAGCCATTGTTTCTCAAGGGATTTCAATAGGGACAAAGCAGCCAGTAAAATAAAAATGCAAAACAGGAAACAAAGATATACATTTACTTGGAAGTGAGATTATGTTGCTCTTTTACATAATTTTGATATTATCTGGAGTGAACAAAATGTTGCAATGGGAAAGCAGCAAAATGAGTCAAAAACAAATCCACAAATACCATTCCCAGTAAAATGGGGAAAGTGTAGTGGAGCCTTAGTCTTACCTTCATGAAGTGGGAATTACTGTTAACATCAATTCCATAGTGTATGGTTCAGCAATAAAATCTAGGCAACATTAAGAAAAGAAATAAACACTCTGAACCATGCTTAACCCTCAGTATGCCAGAAAAAAATAGTCATCTCACCGTTTACTATCTGGCTCCAAGAGACTCTTTATTTTTCTCTATTTAGTCATTTTACAAATAACATACAGAATAAAAGGACAGTAAGAATCTTTTCCTTAGAGATTTTAACAAGAAATTAAAACAGCAGGGCACCTGGGTGGCTCAGCTGGTTAGGCGTCTGACTCTTGAGTTTGGCTCAGGTCATGATCTCAGGGTCAAGGGACAGAGGCCCACATGGGGCACCTCACTGGGCGGGCAGTCTGCTTGAGATCCTCTCTCTCCCTCTGCCCCCACCCCCCCACCCCGCTTGCTCACTCTAAAATAAATAAATAAATAAATCTAAAAAAAAAAAAAAGAAAAATTAAAATAGCAAATCCAAGTTTTTATTCCAGGTTTGTAGTCTGGAAAGCATTTATGTACCCCAAATGGGCACGGTCCTTCAAATGCAGCTAACTGCTCATCTGCTAGCACGTCTGAACCAGGAGCACAGCCCACCTGTAGCAATGCCATTTTTCAAATCCATCCCCAGTGGGTTCTAGCTTATCATAACCTCTGATTCTTCTGGTAGTGGTATCATCAGAACACACTACTTGTGAAACTGACTCATAACTGTATCAAAGACAGAACAGCCATCTTCTTTGCTCCCTAACTACAAAATGCTTTCATTTTTAGATCTGTAAACCCCGAAGGATCTAATGTTTTTTCATTGTCTTATCATCTATATTCTCCTAATGACCTTTGTACACACACCTTTTGCATTTGTCCACTTATTTTGTGGACCATAAGTGGTGAGAAGTAAATTCTGGTGGCCAAACATGATAAAAATTAGAAGAATGCTGTCACACATACTGTTTAAAAAATCAAAACAGGATGTTCCAGATTCTTGTCACAAAATAATGTGTGACGATGTCCTTCCTGTTGAATGGTCAGAAAAGAATACACATTTGCTTTTCATACACCATAGAAATACACTGTTCACTTGCTGATTCTTGAGTTTGGGAGAGCTTATCTAAGATACTGTCTGAAGACTCAGTCTGAGATTCGCTTAAACTCTCAATCCCACCATCACCACTGCAGTCTAGGGCCCTGCTGTCCCTCTGCTTTCATCTTCCCGCTTGTTTAATAACGGGAAGGTCTTCCTCTGTCAACTTTCTTCTTTTTGCCATTAGAGGCAAAGAAAAATTCTAACTTCCCACCTGAGTTCAAGGAAAGCTAAGTGCACAGGAAAAAGATGGCGTCTCCAGTCTTCTGCATCTTCTTGGAAGGACGCGCTGCATCGGACAGTGCAGCAGGCACAGCAAAGGATGGTGGGACGAGGAGTTATTTCACTACTGAGCAGCCACCCCGGGATGGCATCATAATTCCATGTCCTCTTATCTGAGTCTTGCTCAGCATGTTTAGGAATGGATTACAAAGAGTGCTGAAATGATATGTCGGATGACAAAGAGCAGAAGGTCTCAAGACAAAGGAAAATTTAGATTCCCTAAGGAGGAGATTTACAAAAGGGTCCAAACGACCTATGTGATCAGTGTAAGACAGAGTGAGTTTTATTCTATTTAAAAAAGTAAGTATGTTTTCTCTTTGTTCTTTGTAAGATCTCCAGAAAAGAATACAAGTCATGCAGTATCACTCCTTACAGAGCTTGAAAAAGCAGCTCAAAAATGAAAATTGGGTCTAACGGACCCTGACAGAATAATGAAAATCAAGGTCTCCAATTTTAGTTTAAGCCCTGGCCCAAGAGAAGATAAGACTCAAGACCAGAAGAGCTGCATGTATTTATTTTTACACTAGTATTAAAAAAACCCTTCAGACAGTACAATTTTTTTAAAAAGTCTGTCTCCTACCACTACCACAAAGCGAAAACTACTTTTAAAGCTTGATACAGCCTTCAAGACAGAAACTACGTGCAACCAAACATATACATATGCATACATACATACACACAGTTGGCACTTTTATTTACTTAAACACAAACAGGATCACACTAGCTACAAAACTACAGCTCTGGTTCTTGATCGCCCCCCACCCCTTCCATGATGCAGCTCCTTTCATGCCTATGTGTACAGATCTACCACACCCTGGGCCTCCCTCCGACAAATGTAGCTGTTTAACCACTTCCCTACCAGTGGACATTCAGCTAGCTCTTGTTTTGTCTGTTACAAATACTGTAGCTATTAGCCATCTTGCTCCTGGCAGCTCAGACACTGAGTAAGTCATTTTTTATTACCACAAACATTAGATTTAAAAACCAAAACAAAAAACCAACGGCACATTCCCAACGCAGGACCCTTACACAAGCTGCTCCCGCACTTCTGCTTCTGTCTGGTCTCGGCTTCAACGCCACTTCCCCAGAAGGGACTTCTCTAAATGCATCACCCTCACTTCCCTCTAAAGGAGACAGCTGGGTACCTGGCTGGTGCAGTCGGTTAAGTGTCCGACTCCTGGTCTCAGCTCAGGTCGTGATCTCAGGTTCGTAGGATTGAGCCCCACACGTTGGGCTCCACACTAAGCAGGGAGTCTGCTTGAAATGCTCTCTCCCTCTTGCTCTGTCCCTCCTGTTAGTGCTCTCTCTCTCAAATAATTAATAAATAAATAAATAAGACATCTGATGCTCTCATAATGCTTGCTACTTCCCACACTAGCACTCACTGCACTCTGATGATTCTAACGTTAACATCTGTCAGCTGCTCGATGAAACCCCACCAGGGAAGGGAAAGGGCTGTGGTTTTTCCTCAGGGCCTAGCACGATGCCTATCGTCAAGGGACCAGACTATATCTGCCTTGTAGGCAGAAATTGCTGTCTTTATTGGCCATGTTCTAAAGAAGATGAATTGATCCACCACACAATCACATGCCCTACAAATCGTCAAAAGCAAAATGAACAGTTTGTTTAAAATTATAATCTCCAATCCTGGCAGGCCAGGGGCAAACACGCTGCTCACACCCTGTTGGCAGAGGTCTAAAATGGTACCATCTTTCTAGTGGGGAACCTGGCCATATACACTTGCCATGCAGGTCCATGGCTCATAAAAAGGCATAGACATGAGCAAAGATTTAACTACAACAATGTTCTTCACTACGTATTTTCTAAAAGGAAACACAGTAAACAACCCAAATAACTAAGGCTCTGTTGAAAAAATAAACTGCTATGTTCACGCAGTGAAACACTTTATAGCTATTAAAAACTGCTTAGATGCCAGTTGAATTTGAGTCCTCCAAGGAATTATAAGTAAATGGCATGACAATGTATTCATGATAAGCGGTTCAGTGAAAAAAAAGTGGTTACCATATGATATCACCCCACTTCTGTTAAACAGACGGGTGCATGTATTTACTTATGTATGCACGGACATCCACCAAAACGTTTTTTAAATTTTTATAGTTCACATGCATTAACTCTAAGTAAAAAAAGGTAAACATACCTTCTAAAAATGTCCCTCCTGGGGCACCTGGGGCTCCAACTCTTGATTTCAGCTCAGGTCATGATCTCAGGGTCCTGAGACTGAGCCCCGAGTTGGGCTCCGCATTAGGTGTGGAGACTGCTTAGGATTTTCTCTCTCTCCCTTTCCCTCTGCCCCTCCCCACTCACTTGTGCACTCTCTCTCTTAAAATTAATTAAAAAATAAAAATGTCTCTCTCTTTGCATCCTACTACCCACCTACCCAGGAGGCCTGGTAAATCAAAGGGCAGCTCACTGAGGCGGGAGGCTAAGTGTTTCATTTATTATCTCAAAGAAAGTCTGATTCGACTCAATGATTCTTATTTCTGCAGCACTGGTTAAGCCAGTCTCAGCCATTTCTGAAGGGTACGGTCTCTGTTTCAAACCATACAGAACTAGAACAAGGGCACAAGGAGATTTAACGTTACTCTCAGCAAAGCTCTGTGCAGATGGCAGATGAGTGCGTGAAACTGAGCTCAGGAGAGCGAGTCCACTCCAGCCTCTGCCCTCAGGCTGGAACTGACCACACTGCTCCAGGGCCATGGAGACACCAATGGGCACCTGCCCTTTTCAACAATATGGGGAGCACTTCCAAGCAGGATTCAAAGTGGAGCAGCTGCCTGAGGGGGAAGCACTGATAATACTTAGGACCAGGGGTTCCCAAACCCTGATCGAGCTTTAGAGTTACTCCAAGAGCACATTTAAAAAGAAAAAAAAAAAAAAAAAAGGCAAAAGACAGACTCCTATTAGAATCGTGTGGGTTGGACCAAGGAATTTTTTTTTTAAACTTCTCAAGTGGTTCTGAAGCAGACAGCCCACATACCAGTGTTCAGGGATCATTTAACAACTGCTGGCTACAAAAAACTGAGAAATAACTACCCCATCTGACTCCAATTACATTAGCACCAAACTGAAGTAAAGAAATGCAAAGCCTCCAAAATGACTCAGATTACACTACCGACTGCCTCTAACAAAACTCACCAGTAAGAAGCTCATCCCTTTAACTTCATGAAATCCCTCTCTTCTAAATTACAGTCCCTTCTTTTATTTGGTCCTCATTGGACCCTGGAAACACATCATCTCTGTTTTAAAATGTGTGATTACACTGGAAAATGGAAACACACCATAACGAAAAATAGTCACTGACTCCCTAAGACCTATGTTCCTATTTAGTCGCAAGGAGTTAAAAACCTATTCCTACCAAGAGATTTTTAAAACGTGGCCCGCAAATTCTTTGACACTCTTCTCATCCAGAAGTGGGGTTAACGCTGTCAATGTACTAAAAGCAACTGAACTGTACACCTAAAACAGTTAAAACTGTGAATTTATGTTGTGTGAATTTTACCTATTAATAAAAAGGAAGGTTCTATATTTTCTCCCTTTGAATCTGGGCTCTGTGCCTGCTTGACCTGTAGAATATAGCAGAAGCAATGCTGTGGGGATTCCTGGGCCTAGCCCTTAAGAAACTGGAAGCTGCTTCCTTTCCTGTCTTCTAGGATACTCACTCTTGGAAGCCAGCACCATACCATGAGGATGGGGAAGCAGTCTCTGCATAGGATAACTAAGAGGGACGGAGGTGCTCAGGCCAGAGCCCCTGCCGAGCTCTCAGCCAACAGCCAGCACCAACTTCCAGCCATGTGAGGGAGCAGCCATCTTGAAAATGGATCCTCTGGCTCCTGCGGAACCACCTTAGCCAAAGCTATGTGGAGAAGAGACCAGCTCCCATGCCAAGCCCTGCCTAAACTGCAGATATGTGAGCAAAATAAATGCCTAGAGGTGGTTAAGCCACTAGGTTTTGTAATGGTTTGTTATGCAGCAATAGGTAACCGGCACTTCAACATAATAGAGTAGCTGGTCAAAAAATGGCTTTAGAAAATTCTCTAAGCTGGTACCATAAATTGCAGTAGATTCTAACAAGCATAATCTTTTGCACCGAAGAATTCATCAATACATGTACTTCACAATTCAGCTGAGTCACAATCTACCATGTTCACTCAAAACTATACCACAGAGGAAAAAAGAAGGCATCTTTCTTACTAAAACATTTTTTAAGGGGGTGAGGGGGAAGGCCAGAAAACTACAGAGCAGCACAGAATCGTGTAAGCTACCAAATAACAAACATTATGGACAGCTCTCATCTCAGAAAAAGACCCCAAGAGGACGCCTCTCCGCACCCACCTGCTCGCCTGGCCGCCTCCCCTCCGGCCTCTCGGGTGGGGGCTCACTCTGCAGGGTCCTCAAAGCTTTCGCAGCAGCGTCGTGTTTCGCAGCCTGCCTCGTCTTGCCTTTCCCATTAAACTGCTGTCCTCCCACAGAAAGCTCAACTTGATAAAGTAAAGGTGGTACTGGAAATGGGTAAAAGTACCTGAAAGTAAAAAGGGGGTTAGCAGAGTTACAGTCTCAGATCAGTTAGGTCACCTGTATGTTCTCTGGCAAATTCTGGGTCTTTCCTTCATCATGGGACCTAAACCACATCAGGGCTTCCTTGCCATTAAGGACTCCTCATCAATATACAGAGATTTCGTAGGCTTACGCTGGATTAGAATTGGCACACAGGATGAGCAAATACTGTTTAGGAAGCAACCTTATGTTTCACAGAATGGACTAGCTTACAGATTACATGAGTTCAATTTATAATGCTAACCCGAATTTACAAAATCTAAAATGAATTAGGCTTTGGCTGAGGTAGTCGACTTAACTTGCTCTACTTTCTCAGATCTGAGAGTCACACTTGCCTGTCTCCAGAAAAGGCTGGGAATTTTTTAACAAAAGTTTTTTTTTGTTTTGTTTGTTTTTTCTTTTTTAGAAAGGCCCCTCATTTCTGGAAACCCAACAAGCCTGGGAGAGCCTGGCTTCTTACATTTCAGAGCCTGTATTTTTCAAATGGCTTTGCCTCCATCCAAGTCAGGCAGGGAAAGGAAAACTTCCATTCTGATCAGTCTATCCACTCATGTCTCAGGACTGCCAACAAGAGGTTTTTAATACATGATGTTTTCGGGTTTCAATTAGTATTTTACTGCACCTGTACTCCAAGGCTATTACACAGCACGTAAGTTCAAAGTCAAAAAGTACCCAATAAGCAGTAATTAGCAAATCTAGGGGTGCCTGGGTGGCTCAGTCAGTTAAGCGTCTGCCTTTGGCTCAGGTCATAGTCTCAGGGTCCTGGGATCGAGTCCTGTGTCAGGCTCCCTGCTCAGCGGGGAGTCTGCTTCTCCTCCCTCTGCCCCTCCCCCAGCTTGTGCTCGATCTCTCTCTCTCTCAAATAAATAAAATCTTAAAAAAAAAAAAAAGGAAAAAAATCTATGGATGCTGAGAATCTTTTTTTTTTTTTTTAAGATTTTTTAATTTAGTTATTTGACAGAGAAAGACACAGTGAGAGAGGGAACACAAGCAGTGGGAGCCAGAGAGGGAGAAGCAGGCTTCCCGCTGAGCAGGGAGCCCGATGCGGGGCTCGATCCCAGGAGCCTGGGATCATGACCTGAGCTGAAGGCAGAAGCTTAACCACTGAGCCACCCAGGCGCCCCTGGATGCTGAGAATTTTGATGTTGTGGGAATCATGCTCAAATTAACAAAGCAGTTAAAAAGGTGATCTTTGGGGTGCCTGGGTGGCTCAGTTGGTTAAGCGACTGCCTTCGGCTCAGGTCATGATCCTGGAGTCCCAGGATCGAGTCCCGCATCGGGCTCCCTGCTCGGCAGGGAGTCTGCTTCTCCCTCTGACCCTCCCCCCTCTCATGTGCTCTCTCTCTCTCTCTCAAATAAATAAAATCTTTAAAAAAAAAAAAAAAAAAGGTGATCTTTAACCAAATTTTCTTGGGGCATAGCCACACTGCTAGCTAGTGAGGAATATGCTCAGGCCCTTGCTAGCGACAAGAGTTTTGTTTTTAAAGATTTTATTTATTCATTTGAGAGACAGACAGACAGAGACAGAGAGAGCACAAGCAGGGGGGAGGGAGAGGGAGAAGCAGACTCCCTGCTGAGCTGGGAGCCGGACGTGGGGCTCGATCCCAGGACCTGGGAATCATGACCTGAGCTGAAGGCAGACGCTTAACGACTGAGCCACCCAGGCGCCCCTAGCGACAAGAGTTAAAGAAGCATTAAGACATACTTCCAAAAGTACCAGCACAATTAAGACTGACTTCAACATTTGGCAAGCCTAAATATGACCAAATCATTATGTGCCCCACAATCTACAGATTTTATTCTTCCATGTCAAAAATGAGATATATTTTCACCTGTATTTAAAACAAACAGACACATACCTTGGGGGATAAGCACCTCCTCTCATGTTGTAGTTATAGGTGGACTGCATCCGAGAGTAAGGGTCGACAGGCTTATACATTGGTTTTTTTCCAAGTTTCATGCACAGTGCATTTAGTTCTACAGTAGGGGTTATGCTTTCTGCAACACATAATCAACACAGAGAACTGGTTGTTTTCTGACATGAGAATGACGGTCACTAAAATCAGAAAGAATAGCATGCTTTCTACTAATTGGATTCATAATGCATTTCATGAAAGGATATAAGTACTACATTGCTAGGCGTCAGGTCAGGAAATCCAAGAATCTGCTGTGATTTCTAGATATTAATACACAGTCAACAGCACAAAATACACCATAAGAGCTATTACAGGGGCAACAACTAGCATAAGATGTTATCAGTGAAAGCCACACATTCCAGTTATTAGAAATCAGTTCCAATACACATCAAATTCCATGATTAAAAAAATCCCTGTGACTGTCCAAATCCTTTTACTGTTTGGGAATCCTTAGCCAGTATAACTCTGGCTGTACTGACTTGCTGGGCTATTGGCTTACACTTAGAAGTGTGTTGATGCATGCTATTTCACAGAATGATGCACTTACTAAGTACTAAGTGGATGTAAAGCACTGTGCTAAGGGATACAATTCTTGCCCCAGAGGATTCAAATAACACAAACACTCTCAAAGAACTACTATACAACAGGATGTGTGCTATAAGGAAAGGTGTGGAATCACTGAGGAGGAGGCAAGTAAATTGTATCTGGAGAAGTCAGATGAGGGCGGCAAAATATTCAGATATTTCCAATCTCAATATTTACATTGGGATTTGACCTGTGAGAATACTTGTTAGGAAAATTAGTTCTGTTTCCATATAAACAACAGCAAGTATAAGTTATCTCAGAATTATCAACTATAGAAAATACACACTGTTCATTTTCCAATTTTTTCCCCTCAGTTCATCCAGTTCATAAACTGTTAAAAACATGTAATGTAAAAGGAAAATCAGGCTGGAAAGAGCAGTGTCAATGCACAATCACATCTGAAAACAACACCTGCACATCAAACACAGAACAACACTAGCAATGGCAAAGGTCAACTTAAAGGCACACGAAAATCCACTTAAAAAGGCCTCTTTAGGCATTTTATGTACGTAGAGGAAAATAAAAAATGCCTTGATTCTGTACTGTAACTGGTTCAACTAAATTTAGTGCATGAATCAAATCTATAAGAATATCTTTGGGTTTGCAAAATCAGAGGGTCACAGAAGTAACCAGCTTCTCTCTTCCTAACATGAGAATTTTATTTTTTTATATGATTCATACAGTTGCATTTTAACATAAACTGAATCATCTTCAGAGCAGTTCTGACCCAGAAAATCTACCTGCAGTAGAGAATGAATCTGAAACAACACAGAGAAATTAAAAGCAACAAGAAAGGTGTAGCCGAGATCCCTCAGATTTCTTCCTGTGTACAAAGGGACTGGGATGGCTTCGTGTGTGATGACAGGTAACGTGGCTACAACGGAGCCACTCCCACCCACCGTGGCAGGTCAGTGGTTCCCAAGCTTTTACCAGATGCTCTTCTCTATCAGTCTTCTCCCTTCTCCGTGGGTCCCTCGTTTGAAGAGATATTGTCTACTAATAGTATTTAAGTGATAAATATTTATTTTCTCATTCTGTTTAAGGATCAGGAGACATGAAACTGACAATCAGCGTTTCTGATCAATGTGTTATAACTGGTATTTCCACACTGGGTTGAAGTGATCCCAGCTAAGGCCTACATTCTTGGCAATCTGTGCCACCTTATCGAGGAACAAAAGGTATTTTCTCTAAGCTTTTCGGAAACCTTGGACATTGTCTGGTGACACCCCCCCACCTCTCAGGACCTTCTCTGCAGATCCTCAGGAATCACGGGACCAGAGACTGGGAACCAATGCTTCAGATTTACAGTATGGTTAAGGATTCTGAAAAGGTAAGTGTTTGCCACTGGTAGTGTAGAAACTGTGCTTTCAAAATCAACAAGTTAGTTAAGAAAGAATTCATATACATACTGAACGGGTACCTCTAAACCCACTTTTGAAAGGAACCTGTCTTGGCCCACGCATAATACCTGGATTCCTTCCTTCGCTACGAAAAGGGCGGACTATGGGTTTAGGAAATTTTGTTCCTTCCAAAGCTTTGGCAGCAGCTGTGTGCTGGGCTTTTTTAATACTAGTTCCTTCAGCTTCCCAGTGCTGATCTCCAAGTGTTAGCTGTACTGTAAACACCTACAAATGAAAATTGTGAGCTCTCAATTCATGATACCTGATGTTGACTATAGTATGTCACGTTGGACCTTGAACATTTTTTATGGCCATGGTTTAAAAGGCCTGATTATTATCTTGGCAATTTATCCCTTCACCCCCATTTTTTGTTGTTTCTATAAACACCAAAAGATACATATATCATTGACTAGCATTGAACAGCATTCTGTGACAAAACTATGCTTTGAAAAATGGGGGTAAGCATAGAGATTAAGAAAAGTTTTCCTGCATATATTAAATATTAGACGTTGATTTTTTGGAAGTCATCCAAATAGAAACTGTCTTCCAATTACTTCTCATGGAAGAAATATAGCAAACTTGATTTAGACACATAGTATCTCATATAAATTAAGACGTTCGTTTTGATGTTCTCATGCGTTTGTGGTCTCTTGTCTGAAAACACAATCCCAGGAGGACAAACACTTGAATAAATTTGGGAATGTCAGCCAGGCTCTAAAACGCTGCCTTCGACTTTGCTAAGATTACTCTATGATTCAGACACTCCCTCCACCTTCAGAAGAAAATCTGATCCACAGTAAGCAAAGATCAAGAAACGTTTCTGAACTCAAGGAGGCATCCAAAACAGCTAATTTTGTCCTCAACAAATGCTGACAATGGCAAACCTCTTTATTCCTTCTTAAGTATAAAGGTAACCCAAATACACACTCCATTCTTAAAATTAGGTTATGTTAATCCTATCAGAACTGAATTAATACTCTGTCAAAAACTATGACCCATCATGCCACAGTGATTCTCTAACTTTGGTGCTCATCCAGGAAACTTGGTAAAATACACAGGCCCATGGATTTTGACTGAGGAGCAAGAGGGGAGACCGGAGCAAGTGTATCTTTAATAAGCTCCCCTAGTGATTCTGACGCACTATGAAGTTTGAGACTCACTACTTTGGAATTTAGCAAAACCAACGGGAGCTTTTATTTTTCTGCTTTTCTTTATCACAGGCTATCACTCTGTTTCATCTACAAATAATGTACAGGAGAAATGCTGATGTGAATGCATCTACATCATCTGAAAATGTCCAGACCACAGAAATTTGGTGCCTAGAGGGACGGGTGTGCCTTGCCTTCACAGATGATTTTTCTTGTAGGTCTTAACTTCAGGATTCCCTCAGTACACAGCTTCCACTAAAGGGGAAAAATTAAGAAATCCTCACCCCACTGGAACCATTAGGGGGTCCCCTGAATTAATGCTGCAGTTCACAAGGGTACTCATTCAGCACCAACAGCACGGACTCAAAACAGTGGCTGGCCTGAGCAGCCAAACAGCAGGAGCCTACAGTGCTGTGCAATCCCCAACCTCCAGGGCATTTCATGATCCTTTCACAGAAAGACGCTGAAGGGGAAAAGCTAAAAAGCAAAGAGTTAATTTTATCAACAGTCTCGCCTTTCTCCAGCACTTCCCCCATCTGCGCTGTTGTGGCTCTGCTGCCTCCCACGTGGAGGGCTGGTAGCGAGGTCAGAATCTAGGTTTTCACAGAATTCAAACCATACCACACCACCGACTTTTTAAAGAGTCTAACAGTCACTTAGGAGGGAATAACTTTTCCTCTTTGAATAACTTGAAGGTTAAAAAAAAGGGGGGCAGTTACAGATTGAACACACAGCCAAATGACCTACAGTACCACTGAAGTTTAAGTGAAAAAGTACGTGTTTCAAAAAATACCAAAAACAGTTAATAAAGGGAATCCCAAAGTTAAGGTCTGCAAAAAAAATCCCGCAGAAGAAACAGAACAGTTATAGAAAATCACTAATTGCCTTCCAAAAGTAAAGAAACACTTCAAATACGATCATGCTTTAGAATAAAACTAGCTTCACATGAGTAGAAATTTCTGTGTTTCTCAAATGCCTAATAATAATAGCTACCATTTCTGCAGCATTTAATAATCGCCAGGCATTGTGCTCCACACTTTAACATACAGTCTCTCATTTAATTCTCACAGTAGGCCTATATGGGTAGGTCTTATCCCCATTTTACAGAGGAGACTGAGATTCAAAAACAGCAGTAGCTTGCCCAAGGTCACACAGCTAGAAGCAGCTGAGATTTAAACCCACATCTGTCTCACACCAAAGGCGACTCACCTAACCACACTATGGTGCCTATTTAGGACTGTGGTCGATGTTGTTTTTAGTCAAACGAAAAGGGAAACTTGGTAGGTATATCATTCAAGGCTTGAGGTCTGCATGTCAAGAAAAGTGACGCATAAAGAGACCAATAACTCATCCTTAATAATATTATCTTTACTGCAAAGCTAGGATCAGAAATAGGAGACCCGATTCCTTCTCTCTGACACCATACCCTCTCTCACACTGCAGCTGCAAAGATAAAGCCAGATATGCACACATTTAAGTTCCAAGATTTACGTTAGCACAGATATCAAACGAGCTTCAAAGACTGAATTCCTGAGTAACAAATAGTAAAAATTTAAATTACAGTCAGTCTTCCATTCTCTAAGATATGGGGAAAGACAAGGATAAGTGAAATCAGAGACAATCCAAAGGACTCACTCTGAGACTAATTTCTACCCCTCATCTTCAAACCTTTTACCTGGATTGCTGACAAGTGGCAAAACGGATTTCCTGTTCCCTCCTCTCCCTGCCCAGTCTAGGGTTCGTGCAAACAAGCAGGAAAGGAGCCCGAGGCAGGCTGTAGCCAGGAGGCCCAGAGCCTGGAAAACTCGCAGGAAGTCATTCACAGGTGCTTGGGAATTGTCTCTACTCAGAGTCCTAAACACAACCACACACTAATTGGAACTTTAAAAGCCATATATCCCAAAAAGAAGCATGTCTTTTCTTTGACCCATCCTGCAAGGACGAAGAGAAATGACTTGCCAAAAATCTGTACTTTGGCATCTCTTGAGGACAGCCTCAGTGGTTGGGAAGTACGTGTTCTGAGCCACAGCACCACTTAGAGCAGCATAAAGACAGCAAACATTCCTGGTGGGGTAGAAATGCACAAGCAGTATGGGCAATATTTACCTTACAGTGAGCTGGACCTTGCTCACGCAAAAGCTTATACTCAGGCTGAATCTTGTTGAAACGGGCTAACTCATTCACAAGACACATTGGGGTTTTCTCTTTGGGGTGTGCCATGCTAGAAGGAACTGAAAAATAACGTCAGAGCAATGAAGTCAACCAGCAGTATACAGGACTGCTGCTCTCCCGGGGACGCGAGAGAAGAGGGAAAACGGAAGGTCTAAGGAGTCAGAGCAGCGGGGCCGCACAGCCGCAAACCACGCGGGGGCGCCCGCCTGAAGGCACGGCTGGGGTCCGCTCTGAGCCGGCCGGAGCCGGGGAACCTGGGAGAGCGGGTCTTCCGAAGAGAGCGAACCGAGGTCAGGGGCATAACCAAACCATGGCAGCAAGCAAGATGTGAAATCAGATGAAGCACTGTTGTTACAGCCAACCGCGGGAGTAACACGGAGGTCTGGTGAGCACAGACACACTGGTTACCACAACGGCCGTCAGCTGGACCCTGTCGGTTATTGCACAAAACTCAACGTGCCAATGCCATTTCTCAAACAACGACTGTCGTGTTCCACACGGCTAACTTCTCGTTCCTGGGGCATCCCCTAGTCTTATCTCCAGAGGCTGCCACCCTCAGACCTTATCTACTTCTGAGAATTATACAAGTAAAATAAAATGGCCTTGGCGGGCAGGAGTTTTACAAAGTCAGTAGGATGTGGATATAAGAACGCATTAGAAGAAAAAGCAGTAAATCCCAGAGGACTGAAACAGTCTGTGACATTTCCTCTGAAGATGGTCTCCAATGACAAATGTGGGGAAAACTGAATCTGTTGGGTATTATGACAAGTCAAGATAGCTCTCCAGTGAGCCAGTCCAAGGAAGCCTAGAGGTAGGGTGACAGATGCCGTGCAGCGGAGAGGGGGATGAGCCAACACTCTAAGAACAGATTTATAAAGGAAATGAGAAATGAAGGAGGAAATGCAAGGGAAATTGTCAGGTACAAGGGGTTGAAAGAATCTGTTAGAAGGTGACTCTGCTATGGAGACACCCATGTTGGCACCCCATTTAATTGGTTTTGCCACTATGGGGAAGGGTTGGGAAGTAGAATATTATTTTCAGGATTGTTTATTTTTCAGCTGTTTCAAGTCTTTTCTCATCAATGAGCACATTTATTTGGAACTTTTTTTTTTTTTTTTTTAAGTAATCTCTACACCCAATGTGGGGCTCGAACTTACAACCCAGAGATCAAGGGTCGCATGGTCTTCAGACTGAGCCAGCCACATGCCCCATCAACGAGTACATTTAGTTCATCTTTATTTTCCTAACAGTCAGATTTAAATGCTTCTGAACTTATTCCTCTTCAAAAATCTCTGCTTCTTTGTTCAATTTCTAATTGGTCCTCACTGTGATTTCTGAACTACCTCTGGAATCTCAATTTAAACTGACTTGTTTAAAATAAAAATTAAATGCCAACGCACTCTCCTGCTTTCCGGTAAATCTGGCTGCTCCCTTGCTTGGGATATAATCTTACAGACATCTAAAACAAGGGCTTACACATACAAGAATTCTTTGTCAGTTCTGGGAAATAATTTTAAAAGGAGAATTTTCCCATACAACAATACAAATCCAAAGTGGTATTTACTGTTCAATCCTTTCTGCTGGCCGCCACTTTATAATAAGCTAGGTTTTATAGTTTAGTTTTCAATTCCCTTTCTTACACTTTGAAATGGTCTGTCAACTCAGGCCTCCGACAACCCAGTATACAACCGAGTGTTTTACATCTGGAATAAAGAAGCATGGGTGTTAATACTGTCTTCTGGGACGCCTGGGTGGCTCAGTCGTTAAGCATCTGCCTTCGGCTCAGGTCATGATCCCAGGGTCCTGGGATCAAGCCCCGCATCGGGCTCCCTGCTTTTAGCAGGAAGCCTGCTTCTCCTTCTCCCACTCCCCCTGCTTGTGTTCCTGCTTTCACTCTCTCTCTGTCAAATAAATAAATAAAATCTTTAAAAAAAAAAAACAAAACTTTCTTCTGCTTCTTGAAGGTAATGTGAGAGCTCCCTACATCTGCAATCTACTTATCAGATCAAAAAACAGGCTAAGAAAACATTTGAAAAAGAAGACACTTGGATTCATACGCTTACCTGCAGCTGCACTGGTGGGTGTAAGAGATGCAGAGGGTAAAGCAGAGTTTTGAATAGGTCTACCTGCATTTTCAGAGGGCAGAGAGCTAGTAGTAGAAGGAATACTCATCAAAGGCTGGGAGAGAAGAGACTGGTTCTTGTTCAGTATTTGGCTCCCTGAGAGAGCAGCAGATGGGTTCTGAACTTGCACTTGAACTTGAGACATGGTCACTTTCAACAAAAGTGAACAACTGCAGGTAAACAGCTTTCAGTGCAGGTTAATTCAGTGCTATGAAGTCTAAAGTTCTACCTAAAAGTTGTAAGGGAAAGAAAATAAAAAGGTAAATTATAGAGGAGATATGTAATTGCCAATATTCAGTCAAAATCGGTGTCACCTACTCAAGAATGAAAATAGTCCCACTGAGCCTGTAGCTCCACCGATATATCAGAAGTGGGTTTCCCCTCGGTCGCAGTGAGGTTCCTGGCCTTATGACTTTCTGACACTGCTTTTAAATGACTTGCAATACCCGTCTGCTCTGCATGTTTATTTTATAAAGAGCATCAGTAGGGCTTAATGATATTCCTTGTTGAATATTAAGAATTACAAACTACAGCCTATATTCAAAATGGCCAATTAAAAAAAATAGGGAGAGGCCTTCCATACTATATGGATACAGTAAAGATTTCTGGCCTCAAAATTATCAGAAGCTGAAAGCACACTGGGTTCCTAAGACCATTAATGGGTGAATGTCAACACTGCTTCCACCGAAGGTGCTCAGACTGGCACCCTTATAGTTTTCCTTTAGGCTGACTGAAGAAACACAGGAATTTCTCACTTTTGCTGTTTCTTTTCCTTATGATGGTAAAAGATCTTTTTCCTATGAGGTTTGTTGAGATGGTCTCATTTAGTTACAGACCCCAAACAAAACTTGCATCTACATCAATATACAGGATCCTCAGAAATTATTTGAATAGTAAAGAACATTCTATAGTGTTTGTACGATTAAAAGCAAAAGTGGAGAAGATGAAGAAGAGAGGAACAGATTTCAGATTGGTAATTTCACTGGTGTGGCTGGGGAGTGGAACCCGGGGAGCAGAGGAGACTATTTACCTCATCTTCTAAGTTCCAAAGACATTACTTCTAAATACATTTAAATTTTCTTCATAAGTCAAAAATAAGGACAGTTCTGCTTATGTTCAGTCATCCTTCAAAAAGCTGAAAATGTTTAACCAAGTCAAAAGTACTCCCAAAATAACCAAGAGCAACAAAGAGTAGAAAAAGCCAACCAAAACAGAAACCAGCAACAAATCAGAAGTTCTATTAGAGTAATTGTTACTTAATTTTTTAAAAAGTCTCAGAGTAATTTTTAATTAAAGCTGGACCTTTAAAAAGAGATGAATGACCAGAGCAATTAAGTTACTTGAGAAGTTCTGGCACATTCTCTCTTGCTGAGAGCAAAAAGAACTGCAAAACTAAAAACAACAACCCAAACACCTCAGCTCAAACATGACTTTGGATACAGAAACATCCCCTTATTCACCAAAATCCCCCATACTGCAGTTGTTCCTTGTTTTCTTTTGGAGTCGGAACAAAGGAACAGAGGAGATTCACTAAGACTAGGTAACTGTCCTGGTAGACAAGTTGCCAACAACAAGAAACAACTCCAGAACCATTCAGAAATCAGCTAGGACAGGGACGCCTGGGTGGCTCAGTCGGTTGAGCGTCTGCCTTCGGCTCAGGTCATGATCCCAGGGTCCTGGGATCGAGTCCCGCATCGGGCTCCCTGCTCTGCGGGGAGCCTGCTTCTCCCTCTGCCTCTCTGTCTCTCATGAATAAATAAAATCTTAAAAAAAAAGAAATCAGCTAGGACCTTGTTTCATTGTTTTGATTTCCTTCAGCTGAGAAATAGAAATATTTCTCTCTCAGTGCCCCTCAACCCCCCTGCACTCCCTTCTCCCCTCTCTTTCTAAACTCTGTCTTGAGGGCATTTTTCTACCAAAACAAAACAAAACAAAACAAAAAACTCACCTATAGTGTACTCACAACTTCACACCACCAACCACTAGTCACAGGTCAAAAACTATGCCAAAAACCAAGTGTCTAGACTCCAGAGCCTACGTGCACCCCAGAGGCAGCAACCCAATCCTGCCCTCGGTTGCTCTGAGGGTATGAGACTGAATGAATGAACTAAATTTAGAAAGGGTGGGGCCCAGAGATCTATTCTGGCCCCTGCTGAGCAGAGCAGGCCCACAGCCAGCAGGTCCGGTCACAGACTTAAATACAGATTTTCTACAAGCTGAAAAAGGGAACAAATGGCCTTTAATTAAGACTGCCCCCAAAATGTTACCTTGAGTTCACCTGGAGCTGTGTCTCTGTAACTGGGAAACAAGTAGTTCAAAATTGCAAATAAAAATTTCCTAAAACCCGAATACGGCTGTACTCATCTACAAATTTCTTTTTTCTTTTTTTTTTTTTTTAAGATTTTATTTATTTATTTGACAGAGAAAGACACAGCGAGAGAGGGAACACAAACGGGGAGTGGGAGAGGGAGAAGCAGACTCCCCGCCGAGCAGGGAGCCGATGCGGGACTCGATCCCGGGACTCCAGGATCGTGACCTGAGCCGAAGGCAGTCGCTTAACCAACTGAGCCACCCAGGCGCCCCATCTACAAATTTCTAATGTCCACCGTGACCAATACCAAACAGCACCCATTAGCCCATGAACGCTCCTATGTGTCTCTAAGCCTGAAAAGAGAATTAAATGCAGTGGTTCTAAAGAGGGGACAAGTCAGTTCTCCGGAGTGGTCTGGATCCATTATTTGGCTGTCGCCCACTGGAGGATGGGAGGAGTTACTGGTATCTAATGCACAGAGGAGCCAAGGATGTTGTTTCGAGTACACATATACTAACCCACAAAATCTCACTAATAAGTAGCTTATATTCTTAAGAAAATCCCCTTTTTATCTCAAAAGGCTCTAAGAAATTGAGGCTAATATCTTACCCAAATAGACGCTCCTTTCCCAAAGAGAAGCCAGGCAGCTAACATAGTTATAAATGGGGTAAAATATATTATTTACCCACATAACTTGAACAAAAAATAAAGCTTTTCACTACTGCTATTTATAGAGTGCACAGCAGCATTCAGGGGAATCAGGGAATTCTGGAGATACCACTTCTGTACAGATTTAGCACCTGTTGCTCAACAGTACTACCCTGTCCTGAAGATGAAATCCTTCCATGAGATCGTGTCTTTTCTTTTGAGCCTATCTTTAAGGGTTACTTGCTGCCAGATAAGTTAGGGACTCCAAAGAGATTAAAATGATTTGTCAGTCTTCTTATAAACGAATAATATTTTACACACAGTAAAATTAGGTGGAAAACTGAAAACACAAAGACTTCAGCTTTCCTCAGCACTGAAAGCACCTTTAACTGTTAAGCCTGGGTCGTGCTATTTCCCTGTCTCCCGCCTCCAGCACAGACGAGAAGCCTCTGATTTCTCTTATCTCAAGAGCTTTAGACACCAACTCAGGAAAACATGTTCACATCTTATTCTCAAATCCTTATATTTACGTAGCACATACAAGCACTAAAACACAAAGAGAGGTGATAGGATAGAGTTACGAATACCTTTTTTTTTTTAAAGACTCCTAATTCCAAGTCCCAAATTTGGCTTGAGGACACAAAAATCTTCTCATAAAAACAGTCTCACCTTGGATGGCAGCTTCCATTTCACAAGTGTCACATACTTTTTAATGGGTTGTGGGAAGGGGAATGTGGGCACAGGAATTCTACAAAATTCTACAATTAAGGTATTTTCCATGCCCAGCATGGAGCCCAATGTGGGGCTCAAACTCATGACCATGAGATCAAGACCTGAGATGAGATCGAGTCAGACACTTAACCACCCAGCGCCCCTAAGCATTTTTAAAAATTATACATAATGTGTTAAAAATTGATCAGGTACAGAGGTGTCTGGGTGGCTCGGTCGAATGAGTGTCCAACTCTTGATTTCAGCTCAGGTCGTGATCTCAGGGTCGTGAGATCAAACCCCAGATGAGCTCCGTGCTGGGTGTGGAGCCTGCTTGGGATACTCTCTCTTCCTCTCCCCCTTCTCGCGCGCGCTCACTGTCTCTCTCTCTCTCCAGAAAAGAAAAAAAAAGTGAGGAGACACAAATGCAAATTCCTCACTCAGCAGTGATCTACCAAGACTAGGCCATACTGAGTGTACCATCTGAGTGATTTGTTTAATACACAAAAAGGCAGATTCTTCTAGAAATAGTTTACAGAACTATCTGCAAGAGTGCTTAGTCTTATATTCACTTTCAACTAACAGATTGTTAAATCATTGTAATATGAAACAACTACTTCAGCAATTATGGAAAAACATTTTAATATCCAATTTGTAACTAGATTAATATATGACTTATAATGAAGGTATACTTTTGTGTTCAACACATCATTCCCCTTTGCAGTAAGTGATGTTTCCAAACAAGATATGTTAGAAAGAAAAAGAAAAAAAGAAAAAAAGGAGAAAAGAAATCACCACAATTCTGAACAAGCTTAGATAACCACGAACATTTTACCCAAAATCTCTCCCTTCACCATCCTTTTCTTGGGGTTGCGCTACTGTCCAATGAACGCCTAGCGAGGGCAGTACTGCTAACGCCTGAACAAAGTCCTCCATCAAATCTTACGTAGTGTGGGTACACAGACACAAGAGCACTCCAGTTCCTTGCCAGGATAAAGCATCAGCTGTATGAACAGCAATTTCAGGGTAGTATATTCATTCCACATTCAACAAAAACTTATCAAGCATCTACTACATGTGAAACCTTATACGGCATATTGTACATTCTCAAGTGCTAGAAAAAATCTATTTGTTAAACTTTTCCTCAAAGACATAAAAAGAGATCTTTAAGCAACCAACTGTAAATCTATTAGTTCTCTAGGTTTTGAGAGGCTCCACTCTCAGAGAAACTTTGTCAACAACAATAAAAAAGCTAAGAAATAAACCATTTTCCTACAATAGCCTTGAAATACACCTAAAATGCCCACACCATTCCTTTACATTCAACAGTTATTTCTAAGATCCTTTCTGGACACATCTTTCTGGTTGCAATGTGGTTTTATGTTTTCTACAAATAAACTCACCCCACCCCCACAACCACCACCACACCTTCCTACCTTCACCCCCTACCAGCACCCACCATCGTGGCTCTGATCCCCAGAACAGCACTTCATTGACTCCAAACATTATCTAAACACTCGTAGGTAGGGCAGCCGCAAATACAGAAACATGGCAATCACTATACTCCTACATAACCATTTCCAAATAACAACGGCGATGTCAAGCAAATAATATCCAATAGCAGGCCCAAATATCAAATTACCCAATAAAAGGTTCTTTAAAAGAAATATGACCAAACTACTTAAGACAGAGGGAAAAACAAAACAAAAAGACCACTATGTACTTGATGCTCAAAAGAAAGACAGGACAAGTAGCCCTGAGGAGGCATAATCACTTGTAAGACAATAAAATCAGCCAAAAATAATGCCTGGAAACAACCCAGGCTATGCAAGATCTTTGCATCCAAGTGACTGAATGTGGCCCCTGTCTCACACTTGGCTCAGTGCCAAGTGGGCAATGGAGGATTTTCTTTCCACACAAATGTAACCACTGGGTGGTCCATTTAAAGAAACACTTCTTAAAAGAGAATTCATTATTAATTGTTCATCCTGGAAAGACCATCATACCAAACTGTACACTTAAGTGAAAAAAACTTTACCTCTGCAGCCTAACGAGCTGCAAACCTTACTTTCTTTTCTAGCTTTGCAACCTTATCAAGCTTCCCTCTTCTATTCCCTAGGAACAACTCTTAAAAATAAAGTCAAACACATATTATTTTTTGCAAACATGGAAGTGTTTTTAAAATCTAGACTTACAAGAACATGGAGAAATGTCTTAAACCAACCAAAATGAGTGACTATTCATGATTTGCTGGAGATTTTTCAGAGTAGCACTGTGTAACCTATTCTTAAGTAAGAAGGGGCTTAGTTCAACATAACAGTTAACTGGCTTTTCCTTTCAGAAAAGGGAAATTGTACTCTGTAACTATGTGCCATCTACCTAGAAACACGACTGCATTTACCATCATCTTCATGCAAAACAGACTAGAGCCAAGACCCAGTTTCTAAGAAACCAGCCTTGCTGCTAAGTAGCAACCAACAATGTTAAATCAGATCAAACTTCTGAGTTGTGGCTTTCAGTTCCACTCCCAAATAAGACAGCAATTATCCATCCAATTCTTGGCAATCCACTGCCCGATGCCTCAGTTTCCCCAGAACACCCTGTAACAGGATATTCGGCAAAGCCTCAGCTTCAGCAATCGGAGGGCGAAAATAATGAAGAAATCCTGAGGCATGGTATGGTAACAGTTTAGTCCTTGGAAAAGAAAAGCATTAAATAAACCCAGTGTAAATCCATTCATTGAGCCTGGTACAACTTCTCTGATTTCTTTATGCTTCAATTTCCTTATTCCCAAAGAAAGCTGGGTTTGACTTGCCCACTAATCACTACCTCAGTGATGTTATGATGCTGTGCTTTCAGCTCTCAGAGGGAAACTGCTAAAATACAAGGCAGCACTGACAGATGCAGTGCATTTTGCAGTGCCTTGATATAAAACTGTAAAATCCTCAACTCTTAAAAAACTTTTGGTCTAGATGATCACAAGCAGCCAGCAGTAAATGGAACTTGATTCATAACCCTATCTCATGACAGAAAACAATGTTGGATTATTTCCACAAGTTTGAAAATCAAGTTTTACATAAACAGTCTGAGAAATCAAAGGCAATCTACAAAACCTGCTATGAGCAAGATACTTACCAACCGAGTTATGTCTAATGACAACTTCAGTGGCCAATTTTCACGTCTCGACATTTAAAGTACACGGCAGTGCTGGCTAAAGGGTTTTACATTCTTGCCAACAATCTTCCCTGCATTTACTTTCTAATTAAATCTCAAGAGTAAAAAGAAATTCAGACTGCATACAATTTCTTCTTTTTCTCTAACATTACAGACAGAAGTAAAAGTCATTTTCCACACAAGCCACTCAAGAATTCAAAAATATCACAGTTTATGAACAGGCCTGAAATTAGAGAGCCAAATTATGTGTACCTTAAAAAGAGGTGCTCCGGGAATAATGCTGTTTTGGTTCAGTTCTGAGAGGTTATGTGATTAGGAAACTCCTAGAAAATAAGAAACAATAATAATTTACTAGAGTAGACCATTTCTGACAATGGAGATATATGTTGCTCGAGTTTTGGGGAAACCTAAGATTTACAAGGAGGAAAGTTTCTGAAAACATACTGTCATGGCCTGAAGCAACACACTGTAGAATCCACAAAAGCCCCAACTGCCTGGGAGCTGGGCAGAGTGCTTTGTGGAGACAGGACCCTGAGAGAGAGAGGAGTACTTCGAAACTACTTTTAAAGAAAGAAACTGGGCATCATATACTGTCTGATCACACAAGTGTGGTTTTTAAACTTACGGGGTTTTTCCCCCTTTTAGCTACCGGCTAAATATTTTATTTATAAATGTCCTTACCATATGCTTGGTCATGCAAATACAACTGCATGGGAAAATTTACAAAAACACAAGTTGCACATAAACATTCTTATATTAAATTGCAAAATACAAAAAGCACATTACCTCTAGTAAATCCAAACCATAATCATTCTTTAGAACTGGATTTCAGGCGACATAAGAGTTTAATTCTCAAACTCTCAGATCTGATTTATCTAGAGGTATCTTCCTTTTTAAAGGGTAGTACAGGTGATCCTTGAACAACGCGAGGGTTAGGGGTGCCGATCCCCCCACCCCACACAGTCGAAAATCCACGTGTAACTTTTCACTCCCCAAAGACTTCATCACTTATAGCCTAGCTGGTAACCGGAAGCCTCACCGATAACATAAACAGTTGATTAACACATATTTTATGTTACATGTATTATATACTGTATTCTTCCAATAAAGCTAGAGAAAAGAAAATATTAATAGTCATAAAGAGAAAATACATATATAATACTGTACTGCATTTATAAAAGAAATCCGCATATAAATGGACACATGCAGTTCAAACCTGCATTGTTCACAGGTCAACTGTAGTCAGTAACAAAGACGATTCCTTACCTTGAGATGCCTTTTGCATTTTTACAACATAATTTCACTCATTTCAATTTCTCACTGCTACTGTGACTTAACAGAAGATAAAAGTAGCTGTTCACTGTCCAAACAATTTCAGAAATAAAACAATAAAGTCTAATTTGTTTTACGGTATTTTAAACAACTCAAGTCCTTTTCGTAAATAGTATGTTATACTACTAACAAACTTTCCAATCTAGAGGCCTGTTGCTCCATAATCTCACAAGACTAGCATGAATGGAAACTGGAAAGGCCTCTGAGCAGCCCAAAGACATTTCTAAGACTGCCTAGGAGAGCTCATGCCTTCTACTCCGGGGGGGCTTCCCTCAATTCAAGTCCATCTGTGCTCAACAATTACGGTAGTTTTGGGTATCTATGTTTTTTTAGCCCAACCCAGAAATGTAAAAAATTAGAATAAAAAAAAATACATAAAAAAATAAATAAATAAAATGGAAAAAAGGAGCTGCTAGAGTCAGACAATGACAACAGTAAGAAACAACCACAACAACTCTACAGCAAAGGAAAAAGGAGGAGGGGGGAGAAATACAGCAGCTTGTAACCATCTGGATTTTAGACATTTTCACACAAAACAAGGATAGCTGACACTCATATACACATTCACACTCCCGTGACCAAACGCAGCTTTTGAAATCCCCCAACTATTTTCAAATGATAATCCAAAACCCTCATGATTATTACTAGTCTAGCTATATAGCACTTACTTTCTCCAAGCAGTGGCAGAGAAGACAGACTGGGGGTTAAGCCCAACTCCCTTACCTTCCCACTCAAGAAAACATACTAGAATGCAAAAGAATGAATTACATTCATTGCTTTATTCACTCAACAAAAAATTATTGAACACCTAATACTTGCAGGCAGTATTTTAGACACTGGGGAGAAGGCAGTGCATAAATAAGATACAGTCCCTGTCCTTGTGGAATTGTACAAGAATAACCTTGAACCTAACACAAATTTAGTAAATAATTCACAGTGGCATTTTAACTCACAGTAACAAATCATTTATAATACACATCACCTCATAACTAAAGAAGACAAGTAGAACAAAAAGACCCCTTGGCTGCAAAATGCTGATTTAGGATAAGGGCAAACCAGCTAGCACAGGGGTCTGTTTGGTTATGGTGGAGGAAAGTCTTGGCTGGAGATCTGAGTTTGGGTCCAACTCTGGTGCTGAGCTGAATAGTAAATGCTTCATTTGATATGTTAAGAGGCTTCAACCTTTTACTATATTAAATGGGGTCACTACCACCAATTTCATAGGATTAATAAAGTAACTGTACTGCTTGAATGGATTAGCTGGTAATACAGGTGAAATGCTTGTAAAGTGTGATATTCCATACCAAAGTTAGTTGTTAAACATCACTTTCTTAGGGTATACTGGAACTGATTTTATAAAATGACATAAGTCATATATGAAACACACTATTTAAGAAAGAAAAAACAGCAAAATTAGAAAGAACTTTATTAAAAAAAATTACTTTATTCTTTTTTTATGTTTGGTGCTTAAATAGGTAAATTCTGTTAACAGGGAAATCAGTACCCAGCAGTAGTCATACTCTAAATGTTCCAGACTGTAAAGGTTCACTATACTACAAACAAAAAGGGAATTTATTTACCTAACTCTATTTGACTGTCATCTAGGTGAAGGGTCATAGAGCTTCAATGAGCAGGTTGGTTAAATTGTGCAACAAAGAACATAAGCCTCCAGGAATAATCAGACTTATCATTACATATAAATTATCTTCTTTCTGACAGAGGAAAGGACTGCCTAGCATTTTGTACAAAATCACAATGGCATCAGCAGACAATGGCCCTGTTTGTATCAGGGTGGAATCTGCAAGAGTAGAAAATTCATGCCTCAGTTAATTTTAATCTATAGAAAGCATGGACTTCAAAAAGCAAAACTGTGAGAGAATCAGACAAGATCTAGTTAGATCAAAAAGCTCGTGCCTGAGGGGAGCCAATATAGACAATTTAAGAAGCAGCATGTGTTCACTTCATCCCCAGAAAAGACACATTTCCGACACCTTTTCATGATTAATGAGACACACGTACGTCATTACAGACTACATGGTCACCTAGGCTGAGGTTAAAACACAGAACGGAAACTCACACACCGTCTCATGAAAACCCCAAATCCAATGGGCAGGTTTAATTTCACTGATCTAGCCTCTTAAAACTAGCCATTAAGAGAGGACTACTGCCTGGGTGGAGAACCAAAGAGGCTTCCTATTCAGGAGATCACCGATTCAAAGAAAGTAAAAAAGGAACTGTTCAGGAGGCAGTTTAATACCAAACAGAAAGTTACATGAAATATTTCCAATACCATCAGCAAGGAAACAGATGTTAGACATGGCTGGGAGGCAAAGAGGACAACAACCAGAGAGCCCTATAAAGTTACTAACTAAACTTAACTTTAGTCTACTAAACTAACTAAACTTAACTTTAGTTTACTAAAGTTTACTTAAGTTTAGTTAAGTTTAAACTTGAGTTTAAGATTTAAGTTTAAGATTAAACTTACTAACTAAACTTAACTTTATTAAACTAACTAAACTTAACTTTAGTTTACTAAAGTTTACTTAAGTTTAGTTAAGTTTAAACTTAAACTAAATAAGTTTAGTTAATGCATATCCAATAAAGTAGAATATTATAATTCTAAAGAAACTAATTTTCTTAGCAACAACCTTGTCTATAGTTCATAAATCATTTTTAATTAACTTCATGAAGGATTATAGCAATAACTTAGGGGACAGCCTCCTACAACACACAGGTTAATGAAATATCCTCCTCCCGATTTACTTCTAAGTAGTTCCCGCCCCCCACAAACCTTTGAATCAACCTACAAGTTTTAATGTGGCTGTAGCAATCTATCACAACAAACAAAAGTACACGGTAAGTCTATTTCAAGGGAATGATGAATCGAGTTCATTTTAAAAACTGAGTATTACTGAAACAGACTTTTTTCAAATTGGTCTGAAGTTCTAGTGACCAAAAAATCATTCTAGCTATGGTGACACACAGAAAAAATCACCCTAAACAAAAAGCACCCGAGCATAATTAGAGATGAAGTTGGTTCAATGGAAAGAGCTCAGAACCCCACTCCAGTTACCTGGCCTCCCAGACAGGCCTCAGTATCCACAGCCACTATGAACAGACATCTGCAAAGACGTTTTCCAGTATCAGAAATACAAAATAAAGTGTCTACTTCAACTCTTAGCACCAAGGAAGAGCTCGCTGAACAGCAGCTTTTACATCATTAGATAAATTCAATCTGACCCTTCAGATTCCTTTCCTGCATCAAGTAACCCTCACCCTGTAATCCTAACCTACCTAGCACATGGTTAAGAGCTCAATAAATAGTAGCAAGTATTATCATCCAGCAAATTTACTAATCCTGTCCTCAGCTACATAAACATCTATAAATATAAACTTATAGCTACACATCACTTGTAAAAAACATTTTAAATGGGAACAGAGAACATGCTGACTAAAATCAACCCACTCACTGGGCAACCAGTTCTAAAGCTACATCAAATATAGAGATAATCTAATGAACAATCCTTTCCATTTAGGCAAAGACCCCAGGGCACTTAAATTTTTTTTTAAGATTTTGTAGTCTGGTAGACTAACAAAAATCTTCTAGAACAATTATGACCTCTGTATCATATAATAAAATAGCCTGGTTTGCTTCATTACTGTTATAAACTCACAAAGTCATCACACTTCTCCCCCAAATTAGATTCCAGATTAAACAAAAGCAGATGGGCTACAAATTTAATATTGAGAAGACTAATTTTTAATCGAAAGCAAATACTTTCTTGGACAGATTTTCCTACTTTTGCTTTCAGTAAATATACTCTGAAGGAGCCCCCTGAATATACTCCTTTAACAAATAAAGGAACATGTATAATTCCAGAAAATATAAAATTAAGTTTGCAGAGAATTTGTTTCTACCTCCTCTTATCTGGTGACATAAATCACTTTTATATCAACCTTATTCACTACTTTGGGAATGTACATATTAAAA